CTTGGTGGGGGTGCTGAGGCAGGAGGATCTCTGAGTATTGGAGACCAGCCTGAATGACATAGCAGCACCTTGTCTCAGAAAGCAAAGTACACACACAGAGAAAAGTTATTTCTGTATTTCATTTAAAGAAAATAGAAAAGGGTTCAGAAGTAGAGAGGTGACATAGCATGGACAAGGCCCTTAGTTGGATCTCTAGCACTGCTAAAAAGAAAAGAAAAAACTATTTACATTTTTTATTAGACCATTTTTAATGTTTATGCTGTCAAACTTGTGATTCAAATTGAATTATTTTTAAAGTAGAAATTGTATCATAAAAATGAGTTAGCTTTCAGTTTTAGTCTGAACTGCCTTTACTGGTGACAGGGTAGAGAAGGTTGTAGTCTCATAATTTGGTTTGGTGTTGAACAGGAGATTAATTTTTGTAAGTTTTTATCTTCTTAGTCTCTTGACTTATTCCAGTTTATTTTCCAACTGGAATAACAGTACTGAATTTTTTTTGTTTGTTTGTTTTTGTTTTGTTTTTTAATTTTTTAGTGCTGGGTATCAAATCTGGGCTTTGTACATGCTAAGTACACACCTTAACATTGAACCACATCCTTGCTTCTCTAGTTGGAAGAAAAATTGATACTAAAGGAGAAAGTTTTCTTCTGCTTTCTCTCTGAAACATATACCTTTTTATTCTCTCATTGTCTTATTTACTTTTTACCCTATATTACTGCTCACTTGTACGCCCCCTCATTAAAGAAAGGTTTCTAGATAGTAGGATTGGTTTTTATATGACTCTGTATCTCCTGTAATTTACTATTATATATTTTTTGCTCATAGAATGTGTGCAATAAATATGTGTAATAAATAAATTAAGATAGCATTTTGTTCCACCTGCTAATGTAAGACTTTTCTGTATCCCCTATTACCTCTATAAAATATGCCATTAATTGTATTTAGTATGTGTATTTGTCTTTCTCCAGATACCCTACAGTCTTTTAGAGTCTTAAAAGGGAAGACTGGTAAATTTGAACTACTTTACAGATTTTTGTTAAGTAGTTAACTTGAGTCGTGAAAAGTACATGTGAGTAAACCAAAGTCCCTTTTCTGTAGAACATAGAAAAATATGTATAGTAAATCTGTGGAAGAAAAAGGCAGAATAAGTGCCTAGGCTTGCTTAGGTCACACAAAAAATAGCTGTAGCAGTATCCTTGCCTAGGCCTTTGGGTCCTGTGTCCTTAAAATTAGCTCATTCTTCATTAATCTTAAACCAAGGGTAGGGAAGAAATAATATTTATTCCTACTTTCTTTCATTCTGATTATCCTACCCTCTCCCTTTAAAGCACTCTATATAGAATTGTAGTCATTGGAATTTAGTTTTTGAAGCTATCAAGTTTTACACATAAGAATAATGAATTTAAAACAATTTTTCAGTTTTTAATTGACGATGTACTCATACATGAGGTGTACAGTATGATATTTTAGTACCTAAACAATGTATTGATCTGATCAGAATAACTGGTACATTTACCTCAAGTGTATATCATTTTCTTGTGTTGGAGCATTCAAAGTCTCCTCTAGCTATTTTGAAGTATACAACTAAGTGTCAGCCATGTTGTCCTGCTATTCTGTGGAAGATGAGCTGTTACTCCTAACCAGCTGCACATCTATGCCTGTCAGCCATCTTTTTTGCAGAGAAATTTAGTCTAAGAAAGGAAATACTTCTGCACTCAGTATCCCTTTAAGTATGTGTGCTGCTGAAGTGAGCACTCAGTATCCCTTGAGACGCAGTTTTCTTAGTAAATTTTCACAGTGTAGCATAGGGAGCTTTGTGTTAGAAAACCACTTTTAGCTGAAGTTTAATATCTGCTTGTAACCTGACTTACCTTCAGACTGTTCCTGCAGTGCTGTGTTCTATCACAAAGAAATTTTATACTTGTGCCAGCACCATATTCTGTGTTCCTCTACTCTTACATAAGTCAGTTATTTTGGTCAATATTATTTTTTCTGCTTGCATGATCTCCTTTGGTCAGATTTAGCCCCTTTAATTTGGCAGTTAACCTTATACAGTATTGTTCTTTGAGGCTTTTTGCCATAAGTTTGAGGCCAGCCTAGGCTATGTAATGAGTTCAAGGTCACCCTGAACTGTGTAGTGAGACGTGCTCTCAAAAAACACAAAACATAACAAAACAAAAGGTAATAGTCACATCTTTATCTGTTTATTGTGCCTATGTTCATATTTCCTTTCTTTACCTTTTTTCTTCTCTCATTGGATTGAAATGATTATAGATATTTTAACAAAAGAAATTTCATTTGAAACAGCTTTTTGTTCAGAAAGACTCATACTTTGTACTTTATTCAAGATAGGAAGATTTTTTTTAGTTCTGATTTCAAACAGTGCTCAAAAGTCTGCTTCTGGAAGTATAACACTTCAATCTTACTAAACTATAACACTTATCTAGTTAGCTTATGTAATTCTTGCTTTATTATGCTTTTACTTCTGCCTTGAAATTTAACTTATATTTTTAAAAAGTTCTTATATTTTTATCTTCATTATATCTTAACAGATGTTTTTGACTTTAATGTAATTTAAAATTCTCTGAATTTTTAAAATATATTTATAGACAATTTTCTGTTTTATATCTGTTTGCCTTTTGAAATACTAGAAATCTCATTTAGTATTAAGTATGTTTTGATTAAAAGCAGCATGGTTGCCTGGTGTGGTTGTGTACACATATAATGCCAGCACTCAGAAGGCTGAGGCGGTAGGAATGCTGGGAGTTCCAGGCCAGCCTGGGCTATGTAATGAGTTCAAGGCCAGCCTGAACTGCAGAGAGATGAAAAACAAAACAAAAAACAACATGGTTACTAGATACGACTTTCAAAGATGAAAGTCAGGGTTCTGATATTCTGACAATTAAAAATTTATTTCTTAAAGTGCTTTTCTTATTCCCGAACTTCTGGGTACTAGATATGTGCATGATTTTTTGCTCTAGGTTATGAATTACTTTTATATCTGTTTTTATTTATTATGTTAGAAGTACCTTAGGCTTTAAATAAATTTCTTCAGACCATGTTAATGGTGTTTTATATAATAAGTATCAACTTTTTATTAGAAAACAGAAAAAAATATTTACTAAATCTCTTTGTAAGTAGCACTGTGATATAGGGAATGTTACCTTTCTCTCACATCTCGGGGATTATATGTTGTCTCTTCACATGTCTTGATTTGAATTTGCTGCTGTTCGTGGTTAGTGTTTCTCGACACACACTTCGTAGGCCCCTTAGTCCCCAAGACCATCTCAGATGTCTGGGTGGGGTGTGAAAACTTACTTCTGAGTGTATATATCTTTTCAGTGTTGCTGAGAATGACAAAATAAGAAATACACATAGGCAATTCTGTTGTGTCTAAAAATCCATCATATCTGGAGAAGTACTAATACTATTTTTTTTTTTTGAGATGTAAGGTAAATTAGCCCTCTCCCGCCTCCCATGAAATGCCACTTTTACTACAAAGTGTAGCCATCAGACTGTGGTTATCAAACTTGGATATTTGGTAAACATTCACAAGAATGATTAATGTGAGCCTATTTAAGTTTTTGAGACAAGGTCTTACTGTGTAGTTCAGGTTGGTGTTGAACTCACCTTGTAGCCCAGGCTGACCTTGAGCTTGCACCGATTCTCCTCCCTCACTGAGTCTGCCCTTAAACTGAATGTATTTGTTTCTGGTGATAAACTTAAATTTCAAGCTGGATGTGGGGTGCTTGTCTGTAATCCCACCACTTGGGAGGCTGAGGCAAGGTGGATCTCTGAGTTCAAGGTCAGCCTCAAATACATGATGAAACGCTGTCTCTAAAACAAAACAACAAATTGAAGCTTTCAGTCAATTAAAAATTACATCTGGGGTAGTGGTCCATGCCTATAATCTCAGCTACTCAGAAGTCTGAGACAGGAGGAAGGTAAGTTTGAAACTAGCCTGGTAACTTAGTGAGACCCTGTCTCAAAATATTTCAGCTTTCTAGGAGGCTGAGGTAGAAGGATTGAAAGTTTACCCAGCCTGGGCAACTTGGTGATTTTTAACAAGATCCTGTCTCAAGTTTTAAAATATTTAAAAAGTTTTACGGATATACTCAGTTCAAAGACCCTGAATTTAATTCCCACTATCTCAAAATAATAGTAAAAAGGGCCAAGGATTTAGTCCATGCCTCACCTGTACAAGGCCCTGGGTTCAGTCCCCAGTACGACAATTTTTGTTTGGTTTTTGGTTTTGGTTTTGGCCTTGAACTCACTGTGTAGTTCAGGCTGGCCTCGAACTCCCAGTGACCTTCCTGCTTCAACCTCCCAAGTGCTGGGATTGCAGGTATACGCCCCCATGCCTGGCACTCACAAAAATTTCTTAAAAGCACAAATTAAAATTGTGAAACGCTTACTTGCCTACACGTGATAGTTTTGTAATAAAGACGTTTCCTGGGCTGGAATTGTATCTCAGTAGTACCATACTTGATGGTATGCACAAGGCCCTAGAGGCCCTAGGCACCCTAGGTTCAATCTCCAGCACCACACACAAAAAATAACAAAGCATCTTTTCTGATGAAATGAGTCATGATGATCAGTGATGATATTAGTGAATATGGCATTTTTTAATTATGTCTAATAGCCTGAATGTCACAAGTGTATCAAAGGATCCTGACAGTAAGCAGTTTAAGGTGCTGATATAAAAGCATTAACTTAATAAACTCCTATGCAGTTCATAACCACAATAAAATGAAAAGACTATGTATGGTTTTAATTAAAAAATTAGGCTACAGTTGAATAATAAGTTCTTAAATTCTTCACAAATTCAGTCTTTAGTTAAGAGATGAGTTAGACATCCTGTAGAATATGTTTAGGTTTGCCATTTTATTTATTCATGGGTAATTATATTACAAATTTTTTTTTCTCCCTGTCCTCTATCTTTTGCTTCTCTTCCCTCTTCCTCTTTCTGTTTTGTTCCCTTTTTTCTATTTGTTTTCTAGGTGGAATCTTTTATTTTGGATCAGGATGAATTGGAAAATCCAATGCTGGAGACGGCTTCCAAGTTGCTCTTGTCGGGCACTGCTGATGGTGCAGACCTCAGGACCGTAGATCCAGAGACGCAGGCCAGACTGGAAGCTTTGCTGGAAGCAGCAGGTATGTCTAACCTCTACAGAGTAAGAATCTATCTTATTATTCATAAAAACCACAAGCTTCATTATCACACAATTGGCCAGGCATGATGGTGCATGCCTGTAATCTCAGCACTCGGGAAACTAAGGTAGGAGAATTGCTGTGAGTTTCAGGCCAGCCTGGGCTACAAACTATGTTCAAGGCCAGCCTGAACTGCATAGTGAAACCTTGTCTCCAAAAAGGAAAAAAAAAAAAAAAAAAAAAGTGCTTGTAACTCCCAAATCAATACTCACAGAATAAACAGAAAACAGCAAAAATTTTGAGTTGTCATATCTATGTGTTCCCATTTAAGGGTAGAGTAAGGTTTGTTCTGCTTTCTTGTTTCAGTGCTTTTGTTATAAACACATGTCCTTTAACAGTCTGTTCAGTGGCACATTTTCCAGTTTTTTGTTTTTTATGACTTTACTCTTAAAAATGGCCTCTGAGCATCATGTTGCAGTGCTGTCCAGTGTTATAGTAAGAGAGCGCTGTCATGTGCTTTACAAAGGAAGTGTGTGTTAGTTAAGCTTTGATCATAGTGTTATTGGCTCATGAATTCAATGTTAATTAATCAATTCATATTTAATAAGACATGTTAAAACAAACACATCAAACAAGGTTGTAATGCAACTACTTGGACCAAGGGTTGCACTAGCCTATACCTGTATTTCTCTTAGGAGCAGTGGTTCAGTATTTTCTAATTCAGAGGGGGTTTTTTGGCTTTGTTTTGTTTTGCCTTTTTGAGACAGGGTCTCACGATGCAGTTCAGGCTGTCCTTAAACTTACTTTGTAACCTAGGCTGGTCTCAAACTCACAACTGTCCTCTTGCCTGGGCCTCCTGAATGCTGGGATTACAGGCCCTAATCAGTATGCAGCAACTTCACAGAACATAACTGTCATGAATAACAATACCTGTGTACATTTCCCCCCAGTTTTTGGTATAGGCCCTGTCTTGAAACCTTGTAGAGTGCAGCATTCATCCTCTTTTGTAAAGGTTGATTGGATTATCCCCATAGCAGTAGTGTTTTAATTAGGCATTAGATGTGCACCAGGGAGTTAGTGCCTTATATGTAATATGCTTAAACATGTGGTGATGATAACTCTGAATCTCTACAGTTGTTTTAAAAAGCCATAGATTTTCTCAAATTAAAAAATAGACGTAAATGTTCTGTGAACATTAACTATTCGTGGTTTAAGAACCATTATGTAAAAACAAAAAACCAAAACCCTGATGTGCTATGCATTGTACATGCAGTGCATCTAAGTATTTTATTATAGCATAAAAAGTACCTGTTGGTGTTTGTTTATTCATTTTGTCTTTTTGAGACAGGGTCTTGCTACACAGTTCAGGCTGACCTGGACCTCATTTTGTTGCCCAGGGTAGCCTCAAACTTAGAGCAATCCTCCTGCCTCAGCCTCCCGAGTGCTGGGATTACCGTTGTGCACCACCATGCCTGGTTACTCCTTTTAATAAATACCTTGTAACACAGCATAGAAATACTTTAGGGCTTCATGGATGAACTCGATTTCTGTTCTGAGTTACATTCTGGAATACGTCATTAAAAGGATCTTGACCAAATTAAAAAAGAAAATCCATAGTAAGAGCTATGGAAGGTCTTCTCCTTGACTGTAGAAAACTATTTATATTGAATAGTAGAAGCATACTTTAGCTTTGCCAGAAACTTTATATTGCCATAGAAGTTTGTGAGAGAAATGGAAATTATTAAATTACTTAAAAACAGCAAAAGAGGAATAGGCAATAATTATTGCTCCTGAAAAGGGAAAACTCAGGTTAAATATATTGCTCTTCAGATGTTTTAAAAAGACTATCAAGGAGTATTTCACTTTTGAATAATCCTTACTCGTCCAGAATAGCTATCTGTCATCTCTCTCTTTCCTCTTTTCTTCCACCTTCAAATAAATTGTCTTTAGCAAAAAAGACTTAACAAGCAGAAGAGGGATGTGTTTTCTGTGACCAGAAGAAGCAGAATCAGGTCACAAATGCTATGTGAAAGCAGATTTCAGTTGAACGCTTTTGCAGGTAGAGTGCCTTTTATATATAGGATGCTAACAGTTGTTTCATATTTCTTGTTTTTCTATCTATTCCCTTTTTTTTCTTTGTAGATTAGTCAATAAGCTAACCTCTCTTATTTCTTCCTCACTTTGGGTCTTTCACTTTCCTCCCTCCTTTACCTCCTCCCACTTTTTACTGAACATTTCACACAGAAACGTAAAGAGCATACTATAACAAACCCATTGTGTGTCTGTTACCCAGCAACCACTTCTGTCGGTACTGGTCAGGCTTGCCTCATTTTTATCCATTACCACCAACATGAATTTCAGTCTGATTGTGTGTCTCCAAGGACTTGTAAGCCATATGTACTACTGCAGATCCAAAGAAAAAAGTAGTAGAAATTCTCCATCATTGCCAGAACCTGCCAGTATTCAGATGTTCCCAGTTATTATTTCTTTTCAGTTGATTTGTTTCAGTCAACATTCAAACAAGGTTCATGTGTTTTCAAATGTTGCTCTTTAACCAAAATAGTTTCTCTTTTTTTTAAAATTTGTCAAAGAAAGTCATTTATCCCACTTCATGGATTTTACCATTGTACCACTCTGTGTTGTGTTTTCTTTTGTTTTTTTTTTTTTTTTTCTTTTTGTGCTACCAAGGCCTTCACACTGCACTACATTCCCAGCCCCTTTTTATAAACCATATGTATGTTTTTTGAGATAGGGTCTCACTAAGCTGCCCAGCCTTTACTTACATGTATGGTCCTCTTGGCACAGCCTCCCAGAGTGGTGGATTATAGGCATGTGCTGCCGTGCCTGGCTATGTGTTGTATTTCTGTAAACCACAGTGTGGATCCAGATATTTGACTGATTCAGGTTTCTTACTGGCAGCAGTCATTCACATTGCTGTGTATTTTATTATGTATAACATAGTACTGTCTTGTTTCTCTTTGTGCTGTTGAGATTGGACAGGTTTAGGCATCCAGTACATATCTTTTTGATAGTATTATACAAGGTAAAATTTTTGAGGCCTTGTCTAAAAATTTTTCTTACTTTTTTTGATGTCATTGTGTATAAAATTATAGTTTAAGAATCATTTTCCTTCAGACTTTTGGAGTTACTACTCTATTGTCTTCCAGTTTGTAGTGTAATGATTGAAAGCCTTGATGATTTTTCCCTATCTCTGTGCCATTTGTCCCTCTTTCTTCTTCCCCAAAACTTTAGTTTGGAGCTTATAATATTTTAAAATTTTGATCTTATTTTTTATTAGTATATGTATATAATACATAATAAATACATTCATTGTGAGGAATTGTACTTTTTGATGTTATCTTTTATACCTTTGGTTGTCTTTTCTCACAGGATTTCCATCAGATGGCTAGTGATCACTGGGTTCTTTTGGTAGTCAATAACAATGACATAAAAAGTTAAATTGGGAAATTTACAAGTATGTTCTGTCAACTTTGCATTCCATCATGAAGCATGTTTTGGTTTCTATTACAGCAGAACAGTTTATTTTAAAAATAGCCATGTGAAATGATACTCATTTATTATCTCTTAGTTTTTATGTATCAGACATCAACACATGGTACAGATAGTTGTGGTCTTTGCTCAAGATTTCACTAGGCTAAAATTGCCTGTGTGCTCATCTTTTGGCTGTGAGGAAAAGTGGACTTCTTAAGTTCATTAATGCTGCAGCCAAATTCACTTTGCAGTTGTAGGACTGAGATCGCAGGCTGTCACTTCTTTGTAGTTGATCACATTCCTTGATACACGGCTCCACAGAGTCCTTGTTCTCTAAATGTCTGACTTTCTTATCTCCAACCAGCCTCAGAAATCTCTCTGCCTTTCATGAGTTCATGTTTTCGGTCCGTAAGGATAATCTCTTTAGGTCAACCATGCCTTTATCATGGGAGTGAAATCTGTGAAATTCTTAGTCCCAAGAGTTGTGTAGGACATTTAATGCTGGCAACATTTTGGATTTCTAGCAGTGATTACACAAGAGACTCTTTTATTTCTTTGACAGCACCCAGTATGTCAGTATCTTGAGATCTTTTCTCTGTGTTCAGTTTCTTGAGAGACACATCTGCCATTTTTTGTCTCATGAACAGCAAACCTGATCTCCAGACTTCTGGAGCTGAGAGTGAGAAGGGATGAGGATTTTATTCCTCATTATGTAGATGTTTATATTCACTTAGCCCTTATTTTCTGTTTAGTCCTTCATCTCTTCCTTCTCGATCCCAAGTCTGGTGGTTTTAGAGAATAATCACCAACTCTTCAACCCTCCCTGTTTTACAAGCAAAACCTCATACCTGCATCTGGTACTTCCAATTCTTTAGTGATTTTAGGCTGATTACCTGGTTTCTCTTTGGTACTGTAGTCATGTTTCAGTTTATTGTGTTAAGTCGGTTACATAACCCATTTATTGTGGCTTCATAAATACTTAGATTTTAAAACACTTTCTAGTTTTTTCAAAGATTCTGTTAGCATTATAGTTCTCTTTTTATTCTAAGAAAAAAGGAAAATTTATTTCTTCATTTTAAAATTAGAAGTCTAGACATTTTGTATACCTTTTCTCTTCTGTAGTTCTGTTGTTCAATTCATTGAATGTCAGAAGTGGGAGAGAATGATCTGGTCAGCTTAGTCTGTGTCTGCTTTGTGCTGATTAATAACTGGATAAGACTAGAAGATTCACAGTAATACAGAATAGCTGGTATATTTTGGTCACTCCATGTAAGTTTGAAAGTTTTCAGTCTATATCTTTGATTACTTTCTGGTTATCTTTATTAAAATTATCTGTGAATATGTGAGAAATTCATAAAGATTTAACATGAAGGATTTGTTTTTGAACTTTCTTTTTAAGCCTTGAATGCTTTCAGCTGATTCTTCCTCTTGCCTGGTTCCTTTCACTATTACTGACAAATATTTGTTATGTAGCAATTGGAGCTAATTTTCTCAAATGGAAATCTGTGACCTTGATCTCAGTAATGCCATAATAGCCTTCAGTAAAGGTAATTTTTGAAATTAATATTAGTGTAGCAATTTAGAATGTAGTGTGACTTTCAGTATTTGTGATACAAATTATTCAGAAGTTGCCAACCTTACCAGACCAAGACTGTTTATATCATTTGCCCATCTTGATAAGCAGATGACAAATTTGATTGGTCTGAATGTTTTGTTACAGTAAAATCAGACAGACTTCTTGCCAGATTTATTTTTGCTTTTATAAATTATAATATTTTCTATCTCAGATTTTTTTGAAAAACAAGTATATGCTTGTATAAAGTTTATAAAACTTCTAAGTACAAGTATATGTGGTATTGTACTTCTTTTGCTGTTAAAAAATAAATTTGTTTGCATGAATGTGTTTATTATTATCAAGTGAGTGGTCCTTTTTGTCTCTAACTTAAATAATTTATTTTAAAAGCTAGTGTCCCTTAAGATTTAATGTGCATTGCAAATTGCTTGGGGATCACTTTAAAAATGTGGGTAGGTTTTGGATCATTACATCTTGGAACCTGTGGGGGTGTATTGTTTTTGTTTTTGTACTGGGGACTGATCCAAGGGTCTTTTCATTCTGTTACAGCCCTCACCCCTTTCTGGATTTTTTAGAGACTGGGTGTCCCTCAGATGCTCAAATGGGGCTAGAATTTGTGATCCTCCTGCCTCGTCCTCCCAGAGTGCTGGTATTGCAGGAATGAACTATGTATGAAGATTCTGTGTTTTTTAATAAGCCCCAAGTGATCAAAATGCTTCTGCCCAGTGGATCATACATTGAGTAGCAAGTTTCAGTAATGTCCATCATGACATTAGATGTAGAGCTTCTTAAATCTTGACCGTGTATCCGATTCATTTTTAAACTATGTGGCTGTCCTGGCCCTGCTTTCTGAATTAGATCTACAGATATAGGAGAGCTTAGCATCTGTGTTCTTGAAAAGCACCACTAGTAATACTAATGGACAGCTTGGATTAAGTTCCCCAGGTTATACTAATGCAGGTTAGAGATGAACTTGTTTAAATAGGGTGAAAAAGTAGTAGGGATCTGAAAAGTGTACAGGTTGTTTCATTCAAATGGCTTCTTGCCATTTCTTTAATTTTTTTTCCCCTTTTGCTCTTCTGATTGATTTCTGCATATGATTTTGAGTATATAGAGATACAACTATATAATTTTTTTTTTTAACATATAACCTGGAATGTCTTACTTAGGGCTTTTTTTTTTCCTCCCCCTTTGGTCACAAGGATAGGCCACCGAAACATTCTTAAGTAAATGTGGACATTTACCAGAAATACAGGAACAGTACTGACACTTCTGGTGTCGATGAGTCAAAAATAATTTTTAGGACTCTGTTTTTCTGCTTTCCTCTGTATTGACCCTATTTTGGGCAGCCTTTTTCTGTATATGGTGATAAAAGCTATGTAGCCCATGACTCACATCTTACTAATTTAGCTGTAACCATAGGTTCTTTGAACCATAGGTTCTTCCAAAGACATGACAGACATCCAAGTCAGGCTCTGGGTTGGCCCAGCTCAGGCTGAAGACCCATTTCTGGCACCAAATGGTATCAAGATCATATACTTAGGGAACTGCATGGAGTTTTAGAAAATTGAAGAATATTTCCCAGAAAGATGACAGAAAGTACGTGAGTTCACTGTACTAGTTTGAGGTTATTTGTCAACATAGTTAAGTAACTTGAATTTTGCTTTGCTTCTTCTTTTGGGCATATCCATACTGGTGTGGAAATAATGTCATAGGAATAGGCAAATTGTCCACGGCTGATGGGAAAGCCTTTGCAGATCCTGAGGTGCTCCGGAGGTTAACATCGTCTGTTAGCTGTGCGTTGGATGAAGCTGCTGCTGCACTTACTCGAATGAGAGCTGAGAGCACAGCAAATGCAGGGCAGTCGGACAAGTAAGTACTGTTTCGCTGTGGTCAGTGTGAAAACTGTTGTCTTAAAAAGAAAAATAGCTGATATTACTGGGCATTTATTTTGTGCTCAACTCTGTGCTAACTGCTTAACATGTGATATCTGTATTCATAAAGACATATGTCATAGATTTTATTTCTTTTCCCATTTGATAGTTGAAAGCTCAGCGCTGGATAACTTAAGATCAGCTAGTTGTTGAGAGGCAGAGCGCCAGTGCATGTCTTGCGCACACTGACTTCCTATCTAGTGTGTGTAGCAAAGAGAGCTTTTGCTTACTTTCATTTTCTTTTTATGTATTAGTGGCAAAGAAGTAAATACTTACCAGTCATAACCATTTTCCAGTTCTTGTGCATAGTTCTATGACCATTTTAAAGGGTAAGGTTTTTGTTTGTCTTTTAAAGATGGTAGCTATAATTCCCAAGGAACTTTACTTTTGTTTCTTCTGTAATTCCTTATATATAGTACCTTGGAGTTAGTAAGGGCTCATGGAATATTTTGTGACTCCTTTAAGGTTCTCTGATTATTTTTCAATCACATGGAGGCTTTTTTCTGTCTAACTGAAGTGAAGCTAAATAGGGCTGGGGATACATAGCTCAGCGGCACAGCATCTGCTTGGCAAGCATGAGGTTGTGAGTTCAGTTCCTGGTACCCAAAAAAATTACAAATCTATAAAGTGAAGCTAATTTACTTATTTTAGCATTGGAAAATTGGAGTATGCTGTTATAATCCTGCCTTGCTTAACATGGGATAAATTTTTTTCCTCTCTTTGTGCTCCTGGAGACGGAACCTGTACCATTGATCAATATCCCCAGCCCTTTTTTATTTTGAGATAAGGTCTCAAATGAATTACCCAGGCTGGCCTGGAGTAGCCGGGATTGTAGGCATGTGCCCAGCTGAGGATATGCATCCTTTTGTGACTTCATTTTGTACGAACATCAGAGTATACTTGCCAAACTAAGCTACAAAGTCACAGGGTGAGAGATAAACTTACGGATGTACTGACATGTACACAGAGTGTTGTTGACCAAAATATCATTGTGGGAGGAGAGTAGAGAGAGAACTATGATGGGGGTGTAGAGAGAAAATTATAACATTAAAGAACTGACTTTAAAAGTAAAAAGATTTTCTTTATAATAATATCCAGATTTTTTTTAATGTGATGCCACCTGAGATAGGCAATTTGAATAGGCCCTTTGCTCAAAGTTCTCAAATTTAGCTGCTATAAACATAGACAGAGGTCATGGTAAAGCTACCATATACATATGGAAATTGAAAGAGAAGTTCAAATACTAGAAGAGGGTATATGCATGAAGAAATGAGAGAAGTGAAGGGAAGAAAGGTGTGTTCTCATGTAAGAGCTGTATTGTGGCAAGGATTTGTCCTAAACTTGCTTGAAATGTGAAACATAGGACCTAGATTCTGTCAGTGTCCTGTGAGGTGGGAAATTCAGAGACCTTCTAAATGGCAAGCTTACTAAGTGTACTCAAGCTTACTAAGTGTACTCAAGCTTACTAAGAGACTCTCATTTTGCTAAAGGTTGGTAAGGGGACAGTGCAGTTAACATGTAAATGAAATGTATAGTGTGACACATCGATAAAGACAGAGTTACAAAGAGCGGGAAACTGCTCTTTCAGGGTTTGGATGGAGGTCATGTTGTATTTTTTAACAAATGAGTCAGGGAAGTCCTTACTTAAAGATGGAGGTGAGTGGGAGAGGAGCTGTGTGCAAAAACAGCAAAATCAGCTACCTTGGGTTGGAATTAACTGTGACAAGGGGGAGAACAAGAGATACGGTATTTAAATTTAAAAATCTTACTACAGTAGAAAGCACACTTTTACTGTACACACGCCATGAGTCATGGGGTGAGTATGTGGAGCCTAGGGAGAGTACTTTGTGAGATTAATTGCAGTGTGTCTTTTGTTATAACAAATTTGTAAACTTAAACACTCTATGTTATAATCAAACCCTTGCTGGTCAAACTTTATGGTAGTTTCTGTTAGAAAGATGCAAGGCTGAGGTAAATATGTGTTTGAAGCAAAGGAGAATATTTTTGGGGTGTTAAGGGCAAGGTGTTTTTTACTGTAATAATTTTTAAAATTTAAACATTCTATGTAAAATGTGCTTCTTGGTTATACCAATTGTCATATTTGATATCAAGAAGGGCATTACCGCCAGCGGAGAAAGAAGAAGGGAGCAAGGAGATGTGGCCAGAAGGGTCAAGCGATGAGTGTAGTGCCTGCCTCTGGGCAGGTCTCCTAATGCTCTCACTGTAGTTAGAGGATTCTTAGGTAGCGGAGTGCACTTTGACTGGACATCACACCCCAGTAATCACAGCACTCTAGAGGCTGATGCAGGAGGATCACTCTGAGTTCAAGGCGAGCTTTGGCTACATAGTGAGTTCAAGACCAGCCTGAATTTATAGTGAGACCCTGTCTCTAGACCAAGAGAAAAAGGAGGGTGGAATTTTGCTTTATTGTAAAGCATCAGGAGAGCAAAGGTGAAATTCAGAGTGGCTGGTTAGGAAGCACTGCCATTATCTAGGCTAAAAATGTTGTCTTGAATCTGATAATGATAGCAGAAGCAGGGAAAAAGATGATGCATGAGTGTCTTTAATAACTAAAGTGACAAGGCCATGTTTCTAGATAATGAAAGAGTAATAATTGAGTTATACTTGAAATAAAGAGAGGAGTAATAGCCGTGTATTTAATTTTTGAGTGAATTTTCCTTCAAAGTTGAAAAAAGGTATATAGTAATTGGGGAGGTTCAGAGGGCAAAGCTTTTCTTTGAGTCTAGTTTTTTGTTTTCTCCTTTCTTTTTCCAGTCTGCTTTTACTTCAATCCAGCCTTTTCCTTGCCTAGATTTCCCTTCAGCCACAATTGTGTAAGTGCTACAGCTCAGTGGTACAGCACTTGCCTCTCATGCACAAAGCGCTGGTATCAATCCCTGGTACCATCTACTACAAAAAAGTATATACTTGCCTCAGGAAAGATACCTTATCAGTTACTCACTTAGTATCACTTGCCCTCATCTTACTTGATGGAAGATCTCAAATAGGCCTTTGACTTACATAATATATGTTATGCTTCTTTCACTCTAGATTTTATAAAAAAACTTTAATTTGTCCACTTAGAGTAAATTATACTGTGTCCTTTAGTTGCATAGCTAAGAGCCTTTGTACAATATTGATTATTTAATCAGTAACTTTAGTCTGTAGATTCAAATTATGTGAACTCATTTTTAGCTTGCTTTTTGTTAAGAAATGTTATGATTATTCCAGTAATCATTTATGTTTACCAATATTGACACTGCAGTTTTTTTATATTCTTATATCCTGGTATTCCAATATTCTTTCCTTAATAGCCGCAGTTTGGCAGAAGCCTGTTCAGAAGGAGATGTAAATGCTGTGCGAAAGTTGCTCATCGAAGGACGAAGTGTGAACGAGCACACCGAGGAAGGGGAGAGCCTACTTTGTTTAGCTTGTTCTGCTGGATACTATGAGCTTGCACAGGTTTGTGTTACAAAATAAACCTGCACTTTTCTTTAGATCTGGCCTTAGGAAAAAATAAGTCTTTTTAAACTATTAAGATTATTTTAACAGATTGTTTTATTAGATAATTTTTATGTGCTTTACTATAAATATATACACAAGGTATTTTTTACTCAGAGTTGTGGGTTCTTTCACCAGGTCTTGTTGGCAATGCATGCAAATGTGGAAGATAGGGGAATCAAAGGTGACATTACACCTTTAATGGCTGCTGCTAATGGAGGACACGTCAAAATTGTGAAGTTGCTGCTAGCTCATAAAGCCGATGTCAATGCACAGTCTTCAACAGGTCACTTGTATTTGTTTTTCATTTCTTCTAAATAATAGTATCTTTTGGTAATAATTGTTCCTCATGGAAGTGATCATTAGTGATGCTTTTATAATTACCTTATGTTTTAGGTGCGCTACATATTTGCATTTAAAGTATATAGAATATATTTCAAATAAACCCTCTCCGGCTTTATGAGGTCAATTACTGCTCTTTGAATATTCACACAGAGTACAGTAGGTAAAGGACTGACCCTTTCAGAAGGCCCTATGGTGGAAGTAGAGCAGGAAGAGATACACTGCTCATACCCAGGTTCTTTGTTCTGCTGGGGAGAGTGAGAAAGGAAATAAGTAAAATAGAAGGGTATGGAACCAAAGGCTGGTCTCAAACTAGTTTTTTCAAGCTTGAGCCTAGATAGATTTGATTTGTGTAAGGATTCTAAAACTTTTTTGACAATATATCATGTATTTACTTCATGTAAGAGTCGCGAATTTGTTAGATGTTTTCAGTGAAATTTAAAGTCTACATAAACTCATTTACTCAAAAGAGTTCACTTTTATTCTAACATGTGGGTTTTTATCAAGAAACAAAGAAATTATACTCTGGTTTTTAAATTAAAATAATACTAAAAAAAAAAAATAATACTAGCCAGGCAGGGTGGCACATGCGTGTAATCCCAGCACTGAGGAGGCTAAGGCAGGAGGGTTGCTGTGAGTTCAAGGCCAGCCTGAACTACATAGCAAGACCCTGTCTCAAAAAAAAATTAAAATAATACTAAAGCATTGTAATCATATATATGTATTTAAGTGTTTTAAGTATTTTAAAGTTTATGTTTAATGTATAAACTTGAGATCATTTTCATTTTGATTAATTAACTTGTATTGAAAGTTATACTGAAAACAGATACATAATTAAAAGGAATGGTATGAGGTATGAATGATTAATTTTACCTGTATAGTATTTAAAAGTAATGATTTCTATACTGTTGTGGTTAAGCATCTTTTTCTCAGGAAAGAAATTATATGTTTGTTATTTAATATTAATGGTTATAGTCTTCAAGTGTTTTTCTCCTTGATGTAAGTTAGAAACTGAATTTTGTTGTAGAGTCTTTCATTAAAGTCTTTTTGTTTTTCCTCATTGTAATAGGCAACACAGCACTTACCTATGCTTGTGCTGGAGGCTATGTAGATGTGGTAAAGGTGCTCTTGGAATCCGGTGCTAGTATTGAGGACCATAATGAAAATGGTCACACACCTCTAATGGAAGCTGGAAGTGCTGGACACGTGGAAGTAGCCAGATTGCTGCTAGAAAATGGGGCTGGCATTAACACGCATTCCAATGAGTTTAAAGAGAGTGCCCTGACATTAGCTTGTTACAAAGGTATGTAACAAAGTTTGAAACAGTTTTTAAACCAGTGAAATTATAATTATTTTATATGTTCTGGTTTATAATCATGTATAATTAGATGAATTGAATTTAAAGTATTTTAAAATTTATGTTTAATATGTAAACTTAAAATATGGACTCAGATATTTTCAGTAGAAAATAACTATTAATTGACCTAGTTGTTCTATTTGAAACCATTTAATTTTCACATGCAGTGTGCTTTATGATGCTTTTGCAGGTTGGGAATATTTTGCCTTGTGCAAAATGGAGTACATGATATTTTGAATGCCAGCACATCTGCAAATACTGATAATACAGAAAACACCTTACTTCAGACAGACTAGACAGTTGCCTGGACTGCGAATAAATAATGTTGTAGGGTGTAGGGGTAGGGAGTGTTTGCGCCCAGGTGCTCTACCTCTAAATTACATTGTAACTTTCTTTATCTTGAGACCTGCTCTCACTGAGTTACTCAGGCTAGCCACATAGTTGTGATCTTCCAGCTTTAACTTCTTGAGTATTACTGATTGCAAGTGTGTGGCCACCACACCCAGCTAATATTGTATGTAAATTCTTAAGGTGACCACACGAACATTTCTCAGCCTCCACATATATGACAGATAAATGGCAGTAAAGTAAGGCTTTATACTTTAAGAAATAAAAACCAGATGTCATGTAGTTTTATATCTGTACAGATAATCATTGGGTGTTTCATACCAATAGTTGTATTTGTTTCCTGTACAGAAAATCATTATAGGTGTTTCCTATAATGATTGGTCTATTCTTGACCCATTTATTAAAAAAAAAGGTGTTACAAGTAGGAAATCTAAGGACATTCACAAACTCAGGTGCTGACTGTTAGCTTGTACAGCTCATGAGTAAGTAAGTGCCTCCTTAAATTCTGCACCCTACCCTTTGCTTTCCCCACTAATCTTGACTCTGGTGTTAATAGCCAAGTTTGTATGATTTGTTTTGAAATAATTTCTGTTAAAAACATGATAAAATAAAAAAAGGAAAAAAAACATGATAAAGTAATGTTCATATGCATAAATGACTCACACCAAAGTTAATTTTGAAAAACGGTTTTTTATTTAAAGTGCTTTTAAACCAGGTGTGGTGGTTCACACCTGTAATCCCAGCACTTGGGAAGCTGAGGCAAAAGGATTGCCACAAGTTTGAGGCCAGCCTGGGCTACATAGTGAGCTCAAGGCCTGCCCTAACTGCGTAGTGAGACTCTGTCACAAACAAACAAAATGTGCTTTTGACTGTGTGACATTAACAGATTGTCAGATGGGGAGTGCAATTGACAGCTCCTACTTCTCCAGACCTGTTTGTAATTAAGCAGAGGCTGGGTTTAATTGGGGAGGCAAAGAAAGAAGTTAAGCCTTGAGGCAGGCTGATTGAGTGGCTCTTCTCTTTTCTTAAATACTTTTGAACCCAGAGCTGGCTGTTTTCTTTACTGAGTTGCACTTGGCCAAAGAAAGATGAGACGAGACTACATGTGACTAGTACTATCTCTGCCTTAGGTTTGCAGCTTTCCCAAAGTGGCTTCAGACATTGGGCTTTCAGGCTGTAATTAGAAGCTTGATAGAGAACTGAGCTAGTGGAGAACCCCTCTGCTCCATTCTGGGATCCATGAACCTTTCCCTTTCCCTTGTTTTCGTGTGGTTTCCTAGGACAGATTAAAATGGAGACAAGGAAGGCATAAAACTCGGGCTAAGATTGAGCACTGATGTGGCTTTTAGAAAGAGAGAGAGGAAAGGGAGGTAATAGGTAGCAAAAGCAAGATGAAACAGAAGCTGCCTTATCTGTTTACTTGACTCCACTGTCTCCTCTAATTCTAGTTGGTCACAAAGGTGAATATAGCTCACTCATTCCAGATAAAGCTGGGGAAGTCCTTTTTCTGTTGTTTCTTGCATGTTGTCTGAAGTCCTTTTAAAACGTCATTAGTCTTATTTTTTAACCACTTGTAAGATGTCTTTTTCTGAACTGAAACATGGTTTATTTGAAACTATATATGTGTATGTGTTTATCTAAATAAATGCTATTTTCAAGAATAATTATAACTTTCTACATGAAGTTCTAAGTAGATTGTTCCTAAAAAATTTGTTGTTGGAATTTAAAACATATTTTCTCATCACAGTAGCTTGAATGATTACCATGCAGCCTACTAGTTTATGAAAGATTATTTATTCTGTAGTATAAATAAAATACAGCATGCCTAGTCTCATAAAGTATTCTAGAAGGGATATTCTGGGTGTTAGATGTTGTGGCACCTTTGTTTGCCTATAGCAGGGATTCTAGTAGCAGCATTTCTAGCACAGTAGGATAAGGAATCATTTGCCCAATCAGTATTTGAAAGCTGAAAAGCTGGGCATGGTGGCACACGCCTGTAATCACAGCACTTGGGAGGCAGAGGCAGGAGGATCATTGTGAGTTCGAGACCAGCCTGGACTACAAAGTGAGCTCAGGACCAGTCTGAACTGCATAGCAAGACCCTGTGTCAGAAAGACAACAACAACAACAAAAAAGTTGAGGGTGATTTGTAGCTGGCTTTAGTATTGTGCTTATAAATTTAATGTTGTAAATTAAATTATCGTTATAATTTTAAAGTAATTTTTTTTTTTTTTTTTTGGTACCAGGAATCAAACTCAGGACCTTGTGCTTGCCAGGCAGGCCCTTGTGCTGCTGAGCTATATCCCCGACCCAAATTATTTTTTTATATCAGGAGCATCTAAGTAATCCTACACACTTTTGTTTTAGGTCACCTGGAAATGGTGCGGTTTCTTTTGGAAGCAGGGGCAGATCAAGAGCATAAAACAGATGAAATGCACACTGCTCTAATGGAAGCTTGCATGGTAAGTCTGGTGAAGTGCATATATGAAGTAAAATATATATTACTGTATATATAGAGAGAGATATATGTCAGGGCAACAACTAGTGTCTTTGTGTACACAAATTCTGTATTTCATGACTATACTGTGGAGTTGGACCATGGATATCTGAATTATCAGTAGTTCGAAAGCCATTAATTTCTACGTATTGCTTTCTGAAGCTTTAAAGTATTATCTGCATCTCCTTAGTGTCACATTAATTCTGTACTGGCTTTGTACTTGGCACAGAAGTGATACTTTTACATTAGTCAGTGATACTGAAAAGGAAAACTTCTGAATGTGTACACAATACTAAGAAGAACATGTACCTCAAATCAAAATTAAAGGAAAATTTGAAAGCCGAATATTATTTGTATTATGTATTTCTTCCTCTGTCATGGTTTTCTCTGATCCGTGGATTCCTTTTTTAGGAATTGTATTTGGAATGGTTCATAATAATACTCTTAAACCTTTTTGCTTTAGCTTATGATATGTGACAAAGAGACTAAAACCAAATTTCTGAGTATAACTTGCCGAACACATAAAAAGATGTCATATGAATTAGAAGTGTCTTGTGCCAGCTTCCCATTCAAGAATAAGTGTTAAAAGGATGTTAGGTTTTACTTACTAATTTTAAAATGCTGACTAGACATGATTTAAGACTTAAATTATCCATTATTTTTCTAAATTATTATTTTTGAACAAGGGTAAGCTTTCTTGGAAAGTTTTGAGTTTTGTGTCTGTATAAGGGGTAACATCTTTGGAGTTGTCATGAAGATTAAATGAAGCAATGTGTGTAAAACACATCAATAACACAATTTTAGTAGTTCTCTGTGATAAATTTAAAATCATTACTGCTCTTTAACAGGGGAAAAAACCTATGTATAAATTGAGAAATATAAAATAGAATATTGTAGCAGGAATGAGGCACAAGCCTGTAATCCTAGTACTCAGGAGGCTGAGGAATGAGGTTGCTGTGAGTTTGAGGCTGGCCTGGGCTTCATAGTGACTCCAAGGCCAGCCTAAACTACATAGTGAAACCTGTGTCCAAAAAAAAAAAAAAAAAAGGAAATATTGTGTAGACCTAATCAGCATGCACTACACATAAATAAGTAAAGGAAAGATTAGTAGGATCAGACTTGAAAGACTTTTGAAAAAAGTTGAGTTTTGTTTTTTGAAACAGGGTCTTTGCTTTGTAGTGCAGGCTGGTGAACTCATTATGTAGCCCAGGCCACCCTCAAACTTGTAGCAATCCTCCTGCCTCAGCATCCCCAAGTGCTGGTGAAAATTGAGATTTTAAAAATTGAGCATCAGTGAAAATGAAACAGTTGATTTTTGCAGGAGTACATTCAGAGCTGAAGAAATAATAAAGGAACCATAGTAATATACTAGGATTGTGTATGCAGTATGACAAGTACAGAGGCAAACAATGGGTGTGACATGTTCAAAAGAAGATGAGCTACCTACAGAAGAGGGGAAAATTCATTCAAAGAAAAAAGAAAGGGAAAAGCTGTGGGAAAGAGTTCCATAAAGGAGACAAAACAGAGTAACAATCTTGGTTTACTTTTTACTTTTCACTGGCATTTACATGATAAAGAACAAAGAAAGTACCTTATACACATTGTCTTCCTCTAATACATCATAGCTCCTTCCCCCACTTGAAAAAGTGTTGTAGTTTTCTTTTAATCTCCAATCATAAGTTTGCTTATCCTTAAGATTTTTGTCAGCCAGAGGATTGCCGAGCGTTCAAGGCCAGCCTAGACTTCATAGTGAGTTCAAGGCTGGTCTGAACTACATGGCAAGACTCTGTCTCAAGAAAAAAGAAAAATTTTTATGAAACATTTGTTTTTCTTTATGCATTGTATTTTAGCACTTTCTGTACCATCTAATGTTGATTATTATGTGTGGTCTCACAATAGTCTCTTGTTTCATGCACTTACTGATTTCTTCATGGTTAATAAGCTTCTTGATTAAGTGTGTTTTTTTCTGCTTGTTTTATGCCCTCAACCTCTATTTTCTATTTCTATCATGAAAGAATGTAGGGAGTGAAATGATTTACTAATCTGTTAAATGTAGACTTATTTGAGTGGAGATTGGTAAACTTCATTGTATAATTAAGTCTTCAAAATTCTAAGATGTTTTTACAATGCTGATTTAATTTTTTAATTGCATTATGATTAGGATGGCCATGTTGAAGTAGCTAGGTTACTTCTTGACAGTGGTGCCCAAGTGAACATGCCTGCAGATTCATTTGAGTCACCATTGACTTTGGCTGCGTGTGGTGGGCATGTGGAACTTGCAGCTTTACTTATTGAAAGAGGAGCTAGCCTGGAAGAGGTCAACGATGAAGGTTATACACCTTTGATGGAAGCAGCTCGTGAAGGACATGAAGAAATGGTGGCATTACTTCTAGGCCAAGGTAACTGGATCAGCCAAGACACTTACCTTTGAATATGTAAAATAAGAGTACAGTTTCATAAAATTGAATTTTACTATTTCACCCCTCTAGCAGTAGACTTGCAATGAGATGTTGTTATGGAAATTTAGAAAAAAGTATTCGCTATAAAAATGATTTCCTATGTTGTGTTAAATAAAACCAGGTAAACTTCTTTAATGTAGAGCTTTCCAAGTCATGTGTTATGTGAGTTAAACAGAGAATTTGAGTTGAGTTAGGCTTGTGGGTTAAGGAGTGGCAACATTTTTCAAGACAATATATTGAGAGGATTCTCAGAGGGAAGAATACTTACTAATCCATGGTAGAGGTAATGTTTCATAAAATAATATGGGAAATTATAAGGACTAATATGCTGAGTGAAAAATGCATATCAGAAGCTGTTGAGCTCAGTACATAGACGACTTCTTTTTAGGGAAAGATGAAGCACTTTTTTGTTAAAATATCTTCAGTTATTTGTAACCTGGTTTTATTTATGTATTTATTTTTTTCCAGTACCGGGAATCGAACTCACGACCTTGCACTTGCCAGGCAGGCGCTGTGCCGCTGAGCTAAATTCCTAGCCCCCCTGGTTTTATTTTTATTTCAGTAGTATAGTTTAAAATCTGGAAAAATTTAAGAGCAGTGCCGATTTTTTAAAAACTTGTTTTTATTTAGGGGTAATATTGACTAGAATTTAGAAGTACAGGTTTTCGAGCAAACATCATAGTTTTGAATGATAACTCTGTTGCTTGCCAGTTTTGTAACTTCAGGCAAAGTTCTCTTGTGTGAAGTTGTGTGTATGAGGGGGCTGCAGAGACTGATCTATAGATATCTATAAATAGACGTTACAAAGTCTTTAAGCAGTGTTTGTCATGCAGTGACTGTTAAGTGTTAGCTGTGGTGATGGTGATGGCAGTGACAACATTGTTGTGATGATGGGTACATTAATCTCAATTTCCTTAGCTATAAAATGGAACTGGTAATAAAAACCTAAATGATTTGTGAAGTTTGTTGAATATTGTCTGATAAGAGCTTTTGAAATGTTAGTTACTATTATCGTCAATGTCTTTATTGTTTGCATCCTTATTACAAGAGGAGGGATATAGCCTATTTTGTCATATGACACTTAGTTTCTGGATGAATTAACTGTTTTTCAGCTGTGTACATTAAATATGGACTCCTGGATATAGTCTTAGTAATTTTTTTTTTTTTAAACTTTTTAACAGTAGGGGAGATGTACTTCCTTATTTACTATGGGGATAAATATGTTCATTTATGAGATACAGGTTGTTAGGAAGCAGTGTTTTTGCTTGCTGTAGAGTAAGTTAATGAATTTTTCAAATTAGAATCTGTATTTTAGGAGCAAATATCAATGCACAGACGGAAGAAACTCAAGAAACTGCCTTGACTCTGGCTTGCTGTGGAGGCTTCTTAGAAGTGGCAGACTTTCTCATCAAGGCAGGGGCTGATATAGAACTAGGGTGCTCAACCCCTTTAATGGAGGCTGCTCAAGAGGGTCATTTGGAGTTAGTTAAATATCTACTAGCTGCAGGTAGGTGTTTACAGTTTGGAGAAGTTTTTATATCGTTTATTTAAGTAAAAATTCCTTGCAAATATGCTGAATGTGTGTTAAAAGAGATGAGTAAAGTTCTTTTGTGTGATTCTGTATGGCTTACTTCACTGTGTTCTTAATTACAAGTAGTTCTATTTGTAACTGTCTTTTTTGCTTTTAAAGATGTTGACAATATTCTTCTGTATTTCTAGAAATGGATAAGATGGTTTTGTCTGACTTGAGGTGATACGGCTTATGTAGATAGAAAAAATTTCTATATCCATTTATGTCCTCTGCCTCTTGTATTAATTGTGTTGTTAACTGCTTCAGGAGCTAATGTTCATGCAACAACAGCAACAGGAGATACAGCACTAACATATGCCTGTGAAAATGGTCATACTGATGTAGCAGATGTCTTACTTCAGGCAGGAGCAGATCTGGTGAGCTTGTTACTTTTAAAGTCTTATATATAACAAAAAGACAAGGAGTTAAGTAAAAACTCTATGCAGAATATCTATGAATGGTATTTCTTTACTTCTAATATAATGGGGGGGGTGATAGCTCCTGAAGTCATTTTGTTTCCTACACCATTCAGTCTGTTATATTCCTGTTTCTAACCGTCTATACCTCATCCTCCTAAGAAAATTTTATTGTGAGATGTTAATATAATTAATGTTTCATTAGGTATTTACTTAGCTATTTTTAAAAGTTTTTCTAATTTGGTATAAAAAGGCAAATATAGCCTAAAGGTTTTTCTAATAGAGTTTAGGAAATAAACTCTACCTGTAGCCTAAGCATCAGGGATAAAATAGATACTAAGATCTGTGATAAGTACTGGAGATTCCAAGGAGATTGCAAGGCGAAAGTACAGACAGGAAGGAGACTCAGACAAGTGAAGCAGTGGTCGAAGATACAGTACTGTGGTTTGGGCTGAATAAGGTTTAGAAAGTCAGTGTTGTGGCAAAACAGATACTCCACTTGAAAAACGTCATATGAGTACACCCAAAAGGTAGGAAAGCATAACACATATGTGCACGCAGAAGACAGCTAGTCTTTCCGTTTAGCCTGTGGTGGAGTAGGAATGGGACAAGTATAACTCATAGTTAAAATGTGAGCCATTTCCTTGTGACTGAGTTTCTGAGTCTGACACAATTGAGTGTGCCTTCCCAAAGAAATTGAAAGTTTACAATAGAAATGCGCAGGAAGAAGTAACTTTCTCTAATTTCAAAACTGTAAGATCTTTTTTCAAAGAATTGAATTAGATTAATATTATATCTCTTCTAGATATGTATGTGTTAGTACAATTCTTAAAGTACTTGGACAAGTTATGTTCTAATTAGATTTGTACATGGGTCTCCCTTGTTGGACTTCAGCCTTGTTCAAGTTATGAAGTATATTTCCACTGTTTACAGCAATAAGTATGAACTACAATGTCATGTAATGGTTAGTACTTGCTTAGTTAATGGCAGTAAGAACAACCTAGGGAATGGTTTCACAGAAAAATTAATTTTTCACTAGACATGAATGCTGTTAAAAAATGTATTTTTCTCAAATACTTTTACTTTTTAAAGATATAAAAATTTCTGCAATACAGTTGTCAGTTGGTAGTTGTCAGCAATGGTAGTAGATTTTTAGTCTTTCTCTGGATTCTTCAGAAAGCTCTAGTGACATGTTAAAGCAGGTGGTTTTAGAAATAACTAATCATTAGCCTTGTTATTTTTATTTAATCTAAAAGTAGATAAAACAGGAAGTGTGTAAAGAGAGGAAAATGACATTTGTAGAGATAGGTTACAAACTAATGAAAAGAATATCACATAGAATGGATAAGGATTTTTTAGAGTTCTCTGCTAGAGTTCCCTACACTATTGAAGTTCCAGAATTATTTTTGTAGTGATAGGAAGAAAAACTACCAGGAGAATTTTGATGAGGATGTCACTGTCATATGACTGTAACTCCAATTCTTTTTATTGTTTTGGAAATGGGGGTCTCACAGTCTTCAACTTGAGCACTGCTTCTGCTTCCCAAAAAGTTGGTTTTTAGGTATGTGCCACCACGCCTAGCTACTCTAGTTATTACTAACATAAATACGTTTTGTCTTACTTTGTTTTGGCTGCGTCAGCCTCCCAGATTCTGGAATTACAAGTGTATGCCACCACGTCCAGCTCTCCATAGAGTATGTTACTGATTTGAGATTTTTTTTTTAGATTTAAGAGTGTATTTCGCCAGGCATAGTGGTACATGCCTGTAATCCTAGGAGTGAGGAGGCTGAGGCAGGTGGATTGCTCAGAGTTTAAGGCCAGTCTGGGCTGCTAGCAAGACCTTGTCTGAAAAAAAATAGAATATTTTAAAATTTAATTCAAAGCAAAGCATTATTTAATGTATTTATATTTAGAAGTTAATTTGTTTACTAGCAGTTAAATGTCAAGTCTGTATTTTTTTGTAACAGGAGCATGAATCTGAAGGTGGAAGAACTCCTTTAATGAAAGCTGCAAGAGCTGGTCATGTTTGTACTGTTCAGTTCTTAATTAGTAAAGGTAAGTTCCTTAAGCACTTTCCTGTTCCAAAAGATGTATACCTATATCCTAAGACATTTGGAGATTGAATGGTAGTGAGCCTTTGGGTTGTTATGTAATATGGAGGAGCACTGGGACTGGCATTCTTTAGTGGAGTTGATCAACACATTACAATATGTAGAACAGTTACACATGACAAAGAATTGTCATGCAAAGCAGTGACCAAATTCAGAGATCCTTCAATAAACAAAAGTATCTCTATGAAATGTTTGAAGGCTTAAGATTCTGAACTGAATCTGTTCTATATAGTATTATTTTGAGCTGTGTGTGGTGGTATATTACTATAAATCCAATACTCCGAGAGGCTGAGGCAGGAAGATCAGAAGTTCAAGGTCTCTAGGTCTACACAGCAATGTATCAGGAATCAACAACCTGTCTCGAAGAATGAAAAAGGGCTAGGGATACGTAGCTTAAGTTACACGCACACAATCAAAATATGGATTTTTATATTTCTGTCACTGAGAAAAGTTGTGCAAGTCACTTTCTTCAAATTTCCTAGGTGCAGAAATTTATTCTATACAGAATATAAGAAGATGGTTATAAATACATACAGAAAATGTTCAAAATTAAAATGTGGCAGATATGGCAAAAAGCATGCTGATTTTTATTCATGGTCAGTGATTCTAGTTTGAACTCCAGAGATATTAATGGTGATATTCCATATTACTTCCCTTAAATTGTATCTTAGGTTCATGAGTTCAAGTTAAAATAGTTGTTCATGAAGTGCTCATTGTGTTCTTTTTCCTTTTCTCTCCCCTCCCCTCCCCTCCCTTCCCCTGTTCTCCCCTCCTCTCCCCTCCTCTCCCCTCCTCTCCCCTCCTCTCCCCTCCTCTCCCCTCCTTTCCCCTCCTGTCCTCTCCTGTCCTCTCCCCTCCCCTCCCTACCTCCTTTCCCCTCCCCTTTTTTGTTCTTGCAACAGTATAAGGCTTTGTAGTGCAGGCTATCCTTTAACTCACTTTGTAGCCCAGGCTGATCTCAAACTCAAGGCAGTCCTCTTGCCTCAGTCTCTCAAGTGCTGGAATTACAGGCAGGCACCACTGTTCCCAGCAATCATCACATTCTTGATATAAGAATTAAAGATTTGAAGAAAGTGACTTTTGAACCTGCATTGTAAAAGAGAGTAGTATATGGCTCTGTATAGTTTTAGAAGGCAGTAATATTTCCTTACCAAAGATACTAAAGAAATCATAGATTTGTAATTGTAGATGAAAAAGATAAATCAGAAAAATTACTAGCTAAATTATTTTAGGCATTTATTTTGAGCATACATTTGTGATATATAACTATAGCAATATTTTCAAGAATAGAGTTGTGAGCTGATCTAGGTGGTGTGGCACACACCCACAATCCCCATGCTCTGAGTGGTTGTGGAAGGAGTACTGTGAGTTTGAACCCAGACTAAGCAATTTAGTGAGATGTGTCAAAATTTTAAAAGGGCTGAAATATAACTCAGTCTAAGCTCATGTATTTACTCCCCATTAGTGCAAAAAAGAAAAGTGAAATAAAATAAAAGTCAGATGTGGTTTCAAGCATCTGTTATCCCATCACTCAGGAGGCTGAGGCAGGAAGATTGCCATGAGTTCAAGGCCAGGTTGGCTACAGAAAGATTACGATGAGTTTGAGGCCAGGTGGGCTACATAGGTAAACTTCACAGTGAGACCCGGTCTCAAAAATAAAAAAAAATTATCCAACCATAGTGCCCTCTCTAGTAGTGTTTAATCAGTTTGATTCTACTTGCTTTCTGCTATTTTACTAACATTTATCACATTGCCTCGCACAGTAATCCAGATCAGTTACAGATTCACATTTGAGGGCAAAATGTATCTATTTTCATTCACAAATACTTCCTACTAAAAGGATAAAGGTGATACTTCTCTAGTTCTTGTTCTTTTTTCCCCCTTTTTTGTGTACACGTTTGCAGTACATGCATTTTACAAGCATCTTGGAGAATATGTGCATGTACATAACACAACTTATTCTTTACAAATGTAGCCCATAGAGGGCAGGTTGGTTTTGGTTTTGGTTTTGGTTTTGATTGAAATTTCTTTTGAGGAATGTAAAATGTAAATAAAAATTTGTATTTTACTTTATTAATGCAGTGGTTGTAATAGGAATAATACTTTTTTTTTTTACTAGTGCATACTGAAATTTTGTTTTCATTTTTATTTTTGTAGTACATAATGGTTAACTTCATTGAGAGGAGTTGGTAGTGTACAGAACACCTCATCTGCTCCCCCACCCACACTGCCCTCCTTCTGTTGAGCCCTTTCCCATTTGCAGATGATCTACATTTCCTTTTCCTATTATTTTGTTTTTTTCTGTATTAATGTTTTGGGTTTCTTGTGTATGAGAACTCATCTATTAAGCTTGGTGTCTGATTTATTTCACATAATATTATTACCTTAAGAGGCATCCATTTTCTTACAAATGACTAAAGGTTATTCTTTTTATGTTTTGTTTGTTTCTGATTTTTTTGGTACCAGGAATCAAACTCAGTTTCATGCTCGCCAGGCAGGCACTGTGCCGCTGAGCTGTATCCACACTCGTTTATTCTTTTTTGCAGAGTAGTACTTCCTTGTATATAAATGCATATTTTCTTCATCCATTTATCTGATAATGGACACAGGCCACTTTCAAGGATGAGATATTATGAATTGTGAAATATTTATAGTTGATATCAGATCATGTTTGTCTGGAATTTCCTCTAGAATATTTAAGATGGGATAGAAGAATTGATGTGGCTTTATGTGACGCAAAGTTAGCCATGTGTTGATAATCATGAAGCTGTGTACTTGGGTAGATGGTGCTTTATTATACTCTTGTCCCTGTTCTTTGTGATTTTTAAATTGGCCAAATTTTTATGTAAAAAAAAAAAAAGCATGTTAAAAATGTTATTTTTCATCTCTGATCTGTTTTAGGAGCTAATGTGAATAGAACCACAGCTAATAACGACCATACTGTGTTGTCCCTGGCTTGTGCAGGGGGCCATCTGGCAGTGGTGGAACTACTTTTGGCTCACGGGGCTGACCCTACCCACCGCTTAAAAGTATGTAACTCAGATGTTTTGGGAAACAGTGTGAATTAGATATGTACTCTTAAGCATCACAGAATAAAATATTGGGTTTTTTTTTATGGTGGCATTCTAGGTGTGAGTTTTCTTCTGTTTTAGTGGAGGAAAGCATTCTTTACTAAATCAGTGATTTGAATGAGTTTGGGACCTGTTAACTTTCTAAATGGTTCTCTAAACTATGCCAGACACGGTGGTACATTCCTGTAATTGCAGTGCTTGGGAGGCTGAAGTCGGACGATCAAGTTCGAGGCTTGCCTGGGCTACATAGTGAGTTTGAGGCCAACCCGAGCTTCATGGCAAGACCCTGTCTCAAAAAGCAAAGGAAAACAAGATTTTGTAAACTAACCAGACCCCTTTATTCCCACATGTTCTTTTCTTTTAGGATGGCTCAACTATGTTGATAGAAGCAGCAAAAGGTGGCCATACAAGTGTTGTTTGCTATCTTTTGGACTATCCTAATAACTTGCTTTCAGCCCCTCCACCAGATGTCACTCAGCTGACACCCCCATCCCATGATTTGAATAGGGTAAGTTCATACTAAACGATTTTATATCTTCTATCTCTCCTTTTGCTTATTGTTTTAATTTAACTTAGCTGGTTTTTTGTTAGATGTAGTTGTCTGTATGGCTGTATTTTTGATAAGGTGAATAAATATATAGTATTCAGATTCTAAACCAATATGATTTTGCTTTAAGTGATAATAACAACTTGAATGCAAAGATCATTAAAAAGTATACTAAGGGTACTGGGAACGTAGCTCAGTGGTAGAGTGCATGGTTAGCATGTGTGAACCCCTGGGTTCAATCTGATGCACACTCACCCCCCCACCACTGTTAAGGAAAGTAATTGGACACCAGCACATTGTAAGTAAATACATCATTTCTGAGATGGCATGCTTAAAGTATTTTTAAGTCTCTGTACCTTATTTTTGATTAGCATATTTAGTGGATTATGTAGGAAAAGAAGAAACAGTCAATCTGTCTTTTGTCTTAGGCACCTCGTGTACCGGTTCAAGCACTGCCTATGGTTGTCCCACCTCAGGAGCCTGACAAACCACCTGCCAATATTGCCACTACTCTTCCCATCAGGAATAAAGGTCAGTTACACTTTCGAAGACTCTTTCTTACATGTTGTTCAGGTGAACATAAACTTACAAAAAATGTGTAGCCATTTAAAATTGTTTTTCTACAGAAGTGATTTTACTCTTAAGTTGATACAATTAAAGACTTTTTAACCAATGAATAAAGCATGTAATTGGGAGAGAAGATAGTTAATAGCACTGATCTGTGCTCAAATTAGAAATACTAGCAAAAATTTACATAATCTTCTTAGGTAGAATTCTGATTTTCCATGATTTCCTCTAACTTTTATTATTGTAAAATGTTAAGCTGAGTATAATTGGGTGATTTTTTTTTTGTTGTTTTTTTGGGTAAATTCTTCACTTACATCTCTGTAGTGAAATAAGGCATAAAGGTGAATAAGTTGGATCAAATATTAAAATTTATTTTAAAGTAACTGATTTAATATAGATTTTATATCTGGGATACCTTTTTCAACTAATAATTCAAGGTTACTTCAGATATACTTATTTCTTTAGAATTCTGAGGTCCATATTAGACTTGTGGATATTACATCATGCATGTTCTTAAGTTATATCCCCAACATTACCCCTGACAGTTTTAATCACATTTTCTCATTAAAAGTTTTACCTGAAGAACCAATGTAGTTGTAGTTTAAGGTTTTGGCTACCTGTATTATTTTACCAACAAGAATGATAACTATTTCCACCACTCTTTTCAATTACTACCACCAACCTAGAGCCTTGGGCACCTTTTTCAATTGGTTGCTAACCTATAGCCAGAGCAATCTGCTCACCTGGCTGTGAGAAGATACAGTGGATGGCGTAGCCCAGCATCTTTTCTTCCAGGGAAACTTAATCCCAGTTCTGTCCTGGTCAGGTAGCTGTGTGAATATATGAATTTATAACTTGTCTTTATCAGTCTTGAAGATGTTAGGCCCCAACAAAGACATATATTATAGTTGGATTTTAATTTCTTGGTACTTCTCAGTGGTTTGGGCACTCTGTGTGTGTATGTGTGTGTGTTTAAAAGGCACAGACTATTAAATGTCAAAAAACATTGACTTAGAGCTTGAAGTTTTTTCTGCACCTTAATAATTTAGCATTATTTTTCTGTTCTTGGGAGTTTGGCATCTTTGTGACCATGTGAAATATATACACTTAACCCTAGATTTTAGTTTAATTGCACCCCTTATATATCACAAACCTGCATCCCTCTAGTTGTCTAAGTTTTAGCCATGTGATAATTTTAAAATTCTGAGATTAATTTTCAAGATTACTATGCACATAAATACCCACATTTATATTTATGATAAGAAGGTGGATTTGTGTTTAACTCCTTAAAGGTGCATTTTCACCTTCTATGGATATGATAGCGTGGTGCATAACTGTTGGCACTAACCCTCCCAACAGTAACTCTGTAATGAGGATGCCATTCATGTGCACTTCTGAGGGGGTTTCTTTTTCACACAGCTGCTTCTAAACAAAAGTCCAGCAGCCATTTGCCTGCAAACAGCCAGGATGTACAGGGTTACATCACCAATCAGTCTCCAGAGAGCATTGTAGAAGAGGCTCAGGGAAAGTTAACAGAACTGGAACAGAGGATAAAAGAAGCCATAGAAAAGAATGCACAACTGCAGTCCTTGGAACTGGCTCATGCTGACCAACTTACCAAGGAGAAGATTGAGGAGCTGAACAAAACAAGGGAGGAACAAATTCAGAAGAAACAAAAGATTTTGGAGGAACTACAGAAAGTAGAACGAGAGTTACAACTGAAAACGCAGCAGCAGCTTAAAAAGCAGTATCTAGAGGTTAAAGCTCAAAGAATTCAACTGCAGCAGCAGCAGCAACAGTCTTGCCAACACCTGGGACTGCTAACTCCGGTTGGAGTTGGAGAACATCTTTCCGAGGGAGACTATGCACGGTTACAGCAAGTGGATCCTGTTTTGCTCAAAGATGAAACCCAGCAGACTGCTGCTCAGATTGGTTTTGCACCAATCCAGCCTCTGGCCATGCCTCAAGCTTTGCCTCTGGCGGCAGGTCCCTTGCCTCCAGGGTCCATCGCAAATCTTACAGAACTGCAAGGAGTGATAGTTGGACAGCCAGTACTGGGCCAAGCACAGTTGGCAGGGCTGGGGCAAGGAATTCTGACAGAAACACAACAAGGGTTAATGGTAGCCAGCCCTGCTCAGACCCTCAATGACACGCTGGATGACATCATGGCAGGTGGGTTTATATTGTTATGAGCAGGTATCAAATATAATTTGCTTAAGGCGAGTAAGAGTGTGCCAGAATTTTTGCCATTACCCAACTTGAGAGCTATTTTTGGACTCTTGACCCATGTATATCTGTAGAAATACTAGTTCTATCTCAAAAATTCTCAGGCAGATACAGGTCAGATTAAAATTTAATTCATTCAATACAAATGGCGGAAGCTTTCTGGCTTAGCTAAATAGGCTGGGAATGTATGTTTTCCGATAGAGGGGTTGATGTTTGATTTTTACTTTTGTGTCCCCCCCGACCCTAAGGTTCAGAATATTGACATTGAATTTTAGCTTTTTGCTTCTGTATTCATACCAATAATCTGGAAAATTGGCAAAAGTTGAAGAACAAAACTAATAGGACACATCAGGAAGCTTATTTGTGAACAAAAACACTTTATATCCTAATGTACAAACCTGATCGATATTTAAACAAATAAACCTTAAATGCATTAATAAAGTACCAAACCAAGTAGGGTTTGATTATATTGTATGTCAGTTATTTTATACCCTGTAAATGTTAATGCTTAGTCTCTTCTAAGTGAAGATGTGGTTCCCTGGCAGTATCATAAATGAGATATTTTTAAATGTATAGTCAGAGAAATTTTATTTCATTATAATTACTTTCATTTTCAAGAAGTATTTTAGAAGACTGTTTTAATGCTTCTCAGTTTTGCTACTTACTTTTTGTGAGTTCTGTAACAACATAGTGGGATGAAATTTGATACGGTTTTAAGCCATAAGAAACCATACTGAGAAAGATGGAAATTTCCATAGGAAATTTTTTTAAAAAGGAAATTTGGAAAGGAGGGCAAACAAAGAATAAAGGGAACAAAAAGTTGAATTTTGCATTCTTCTCTTCCCCTTTTTAACTCATTGGTCTATACCAGAAATGTTGGCTCTAACTTAACAACTCCATTTCAGTAACATTACATATTACGATGAGATTATATAATGCTTCATTTTCTAGAAGTATTTATTTAGCTAACATTCAGAAATTAACAGTCCATCTAATGAAACAGATTATAGTTAAAAATTAGAGTTTCCAATCCTTTTTTAAATATTACTTCAGCAGTGATACACCAAATGAAAATCTTCCATAATCTTGAGTAAAATACATTCAGGAAAAATTGCTAGTGATAATTAGTAGTAAGAACTGTAAAGGTTCTCAATGTTGATGAATATAGTTTTTTCTACAGATTTGAAAAATGACCATTAATCACCCCTACCAGGTCATAATAATAGGCAATAAAAGTAGAAGATTTTAAAATACTCTTATGAAAATTGCAGTACAGTTGCCATAAATCCAGTTTTAATACTGTGTCCATAGCCTATAATTTAGATCATAATTTTCTTTTATTTCGGCCATACTACCAAAGTATGTATAGAGTTAAATGTTATTCATTTAAATGAAGAGTGAATAGTCTGTATCAGTGAATGTTTAAAAATTTTTTTGATATGCTATCAGAGTTTACCTTGATGTACTTGGACAAAGTAGCCAACAGTGATTTGGTGGTTGTGCAACCTTTTATGTTTATGAGAATTAATAGAAGTTTGCAAAATACATTTTTTCTTGATTTGTACTATACCCCTAAAACGTAATGTCTGTGTTCTAGGTGTTTCCATATAAAAAACTTTCAATGCACATGATGTTTTACAGAATGACAAATAATTGTCATACTATAAAAATATTTATTTCTTTACTATGTTCATTTATGTTGTTGAGAGGAAAAATTACCAGACAGAGCAAAATTTAATCCACATGCACCCACACACGTACTCTTACGTTCTCTTTTTTGCAGCCTCCTCCTTTAAACTTCTTTAAGATAGTAGAATCCAATTATCTGACTAAGGGTCATTTCTACTCCTTTGGGTTTCTAATACAGTATAATCTGTCAAGCTCATAGTCTTTTTTTCTCTTCCTCCAACATATACTCAGCCATTTCCTTAGTCCTCACTTACAGAGTGCTGTTACAGTGTTTGGTCTACTTTTCTGTAGTACTTAACTGGCTAAAATCTTGAGTCTTCTCTTCTCCTTGTTTGCCAAAAGAAAGTAGTCCCATTTAACCTGTCTTAACACCTTGTTTCTGCTATTGTATTAAGTTCCCCACTTCTCCTCTTCCTAGAACTTTTCCTGAGCATATTGTTTTCCCTCGCTAAACATAACTCTAAAATGAAGTCTCACATGTAAAAATCTATACCAGAGTTCCTTCAGGTGCTTACATGTTTACATTTGTTGCTTTTATCTATAGAAGTGATAGGCAGTTATTTAGTTTTAGTGAACAAGTTGCATAGGTACCCCAAAGGGAGTGAAAGGAGAGAATTTTTTCCCATCTCCTTTTAGATGAGGCTATTAAAAATCAGTTTGACTAAAAAGAAAGTTAATTTTGTAGAAATCATTATATTTTAAATGTAAATTATCATTTAGTCAACTAATTAAGTTTTTTTAACCCACTTTAAAACCATGAAATTAAAATTACTGATTTATACTTACTGGTGTTTATCCTCTTTAAGCTACTTTTTTGTGTTTATCATTTCCATTTGTGAAAATGCAACCACAGGAAATATGAAGTCTATTTTAGAGCTATAGATTTTATATGAGTTTGAATTCTATATCTATAATATTTACATTTAAATTATTTGATCTTTTTCTGAGCATTACAAAGTTAACAATATGGAGTAACAATATCAAGGTCACTAGATACTTAATTTAACACATTAGACATTCCCTTTTCTCTTGATCTAAATCCCTAAGGATTCAAATGATGTTTTGTTTGGATTGACTTCTTTTTTTGTTTGGCTTTTAAATTGACTGAAAAATGTATAATTATAGAATGTGTTTTGCTATAATGTATATATTTGTGCCTGAACTAAAGATTTTATGTAAAGTAGATTTCTTAATTGACAGTTCTGTTTATAACTGTTGTAAAAATCAATTTCAGTTTTACTTTTGGCAGGATAATCTCTTTTGCCCAATTTGAAATCCAGTTGTGAATCGATTGTCTTCTGTCTGATGTAGTAAATAACTACTTTGGTAACACACGTCCACACTCTTGTTGACCGTTCAGTGATAAATGCCCATGCTTTAATAATATCATAGTGCTTTTAATAAGGGGATGAAAAAGAATGATGTTCATGTATTAACTCTAGAAGTGAGTCAATGAGGGAAATAATATATTCTCAAGGGAATCTACATTATTGTATATTATGCCACCATCTTGGCATTCTCCTACTTAAGTATGACCTAACTAGCTAGCCATTATTTCAGTTGCATATTTGAGTGTGAAAATAATATCACAGCAAAATCCTACTTAGAAGAATGAACAGCGTTCCATAGTTGAAAGAATGATTGTTTACATGCATTTATTTCTGCCCTAATCTTTTAATTTTTTCTTTATAAGTTGTGATTGCCGTCTTGATTGTTGGGTATTTTACCACCCTCAGAATAATTCTTTGTCTGAGAAAATACATTCCTATGTGAGGATTGGATTTTTATATTTGAAAAATTGTCATGCTGAGGACTATAATTAAGAATATCCCAGGTTTAGTTATTAAAACAATACGGGGGTGTTTTAAGTAGATAGGAAGGGTCTTCCTTTCCAACCAATGATATTACTGTCACTAGTTGTAGAATATAAGGTGTGCAATTGGCAAGTAAAAAAAATTCTTTTTCCCCATTTGATCTTGACTATTACACCTCTTTTTAAATTTCTAATTAAGTTATAATGGGCAACTTTCACTTTAAGTTTATACTGTATTTAATTCTAGTACATTAAAATATTTTTATTTTCAGGATTATTTTGTATTAAGGTTTTATGACTACTTTCATAAAAGGGGAACTTGTATTTCAGATGGATTATTTAGAAAATGGATGACTCTCAATGCACATTATAAATTTGGAATATCATCTAGTCAAAAATAACGAGGAAATGAGTTATTACTGCTATAATAGTCTCCCTGTCAACATTTTGTTTTTGAAATCTTAAATACTTCTAATAAATATTTTTTACTATTACTGTGACCTAACAGTGTTTCATCCTTATTAAGTACAGTTATTTTGTTCAACAGCAGTCAGTGGAAGAGCATCTGCAATGTCAAACACTCCTACCCACAGTATTGCTGCTTCCATTTCCCAGCCTCAGACTCCAACTCCAAGTCCTGTCATCTCTCCTTCAGCCATGCTTCCCATCTACCCTGCCATTGATATTGATGCACAGGTAAGCTCCGAATTTAGGAGAGACATCTTTTCCCGGTAGTTAATACCATCATTAAAAACGTTAACATTCAGTGATTTGTTTAAATCATGATCGACTGCTTTGTGAAAGATGTGAGCCACACTTACAAATTGAAATCCACATTAAAAAAAAAAAAAAAAAATATGTGACAGGCAATTACTGATAATTATGGGGTTGTCTGGTTTCCCATGTTACCATTTTTTTTTTCTTTTTTAACTCTTTCTAGTTTAGAAAAGAAATGTAATGTAAGAATAATAACTAACAATGATTAGTGTGTTTTTTCTACTAATAGAAGACATACTTTAAAATATATAATTGCACGTAAAAGAAAAATATTCTAACATTTATAGGTTTGTTAGTTTTATATATCATGTATGCCTAGCTGTGTTCAAATCATTCTTGAAAATTCTGATTAAGGTGGTGAGTCTCTAAAACTTAGCTATTAAAGGATTTCATGGAGGAGTTAGAAGTACTTCCTGTCTCTTCAGATTAGCTGAAGGAATATGAGACAAAAAAAGATACTATATAAGCTTTAAAAAGTTTCAGAACTATTAAGTAGACAGGTTCTTTAAAAAATTAGTTTCACACAATCTTGGAGCAAGGTGAGGTTGGAGAGAATAGTGCATGTTCTGTTCTGAAGAGAGGCCCAAAGGTCTGACCTGGAAGATGAATGAGACCTAGCCTTCAACACTGAGGAGGGGGTGTTTGCAGGTTATAGATGTAGTTGCTGTATTTTGACTGATAAAATCTTGTATTCTTATTATTCCCTGGGGTGAAGGAGTATGTGTTAAAACTTAATTTTTTGAATGATCAGGTCTTTATAAGCCTGAGTTTCAGGAAGTATATATATTGATCTGTATAGCCTATGTGTGTGTTTGTGGACTACTAGGGGCATATACTCTTAACCAATTAAAAATAACTCTCCTTTTTATTAAAATGTTTCTTGGTACTACTGTGAAAACGAATTTCTTTTGTGTTTTGTTTGCCAAATGTGTACTGTTTTATATGTGCTATCCCATCCTCCCTTCCGTCCCCCTCCCTTTTTTTTTCACTTAAAACTGTTAAGAACACTTTTTAAGAAAGTGCATCATCTAATCCTCAGACTATATATATGAGGCAGCTACTCTTGCTGCCCTGGAAAAAGATTAAATGTTTTCTTTATACTTATTTCATTTAGCTAAGAAATAGTGGAGATGGGAACCACAATCAGTTCGTTTGACTCTGAAAACACTAATCTTAACTACCATGCCCTGGTAGCCTTTTTAAGAACATTTGGGAGTTGAATTTCACTTGCTGATACTCACTTCATATTGATAGTCTTACAGAACTGGCTTGAATGTGATAATGAATTTGTACTTTATATGTACATAGTCTTTTTTTGAGGTTATTAAAATTAGCTAGAAGTATTTTTTCTAGGACCAAGAATTAATGCAAAAGCAGCAAAACTGAATACTTCTTTTTAAAGTACATTTTCAAACAAAATAAATGCAGGAAAAGTATATTCAAGTGTGGTCATGATTTTACCAAATTTGAACTTGTACTGGTGGTGAAATAATTTTACAAGAATATACCATTCAACTTAAAAATAATTTTTTTCAAAGATTAAGAGAAGTTATGTTTTAAATGTAGTAGGCATGCTGAAGATTTGACTCTGGCTCCTTAAAAATATCCCTCTATCTGGTCTTTACTAGGTGAAACACGTTTTCATCTGTTTGAATGGCCTAAAAAGAAACTGCTTTCTATGAAGTTTACCATAAAGTCTTGCTTAGTTATTAGAAAGTTCCTGTATTGGGAAAAATATGCAAAATAATAATCAGATAATTTTTTATCCTTTTTTTTAAAATTTTTGATGTTTTAAGTATGTTATTGGTTTTTACATCATTCAGGTACTTCAAATGATTAAAAATCCTTTTGTATATAATCCATCTGTTTCAGTGTTTTTGTTTTTTTGTGTTTTTTGTTTTTCCTTTGTTTCGTTTTGTTTTGTTTGCACTACTGGGGATTGAACCCAGGGCCTTTATACTGATCCACATCCCCAGCCCTTTTTTTATTTTTTATTTTGAGACAGGGTCTCACTAAAGTACCCAGACTTGCCTCGAACTTGAGATCCTCCTGCCTCAGCATCCCAGAGTACTGGGAGTACAGGTGTGTGCCACCATGCCCAGCTGAATGTTTTTTGATCTAAAATAAAATTTATGTGAGCTTATATAATGGATATATTTTGGTTTACATATGTAGTACTATGCTGTAGCAGACAGGTGACATAATGAGAAACTTGAGATTAATTTGTTTCTTAAAAGATTAAACATTTTATAATTCTTTTTAATTTAACCAATCTTAATACGTACAAACATAATGTCTTGCAGATGCAATTTGAGTATCCTTTATCCAGAATGTTTGGTACTTGAAGTGTTTCACCTTTCAGACTTTTAGCATATTTGGGCATATTTGTGTAGACTTTTTACAAGTTCAGCATCTCTAACCTGAAATCTGAAATGCTGCAAAATCTGTAACTTTTTGAAGATCATCATGGTGCCACCCAAAGTTCCACTTTTCATGGTAGGGGTCCCCTGAAGTGTAGGTCCTTCTGCTCCCATTATAAATGAGAGGAGTTGGGTGTAGAGTGTCGCAATCATTGTGCACCCAAAGTGATACAGAGGAAAGGGTTTATTTTGGTGCATAGTTTATAGAGGTCTCAGTTCATGCTCACATGTGTCCAAGGCAGGCTAGCATGTCAGGGGGAGAAACAGCTCATGAGATGGCAGCAGAAAGCATAGAGAGACCACCTCCTCTGACCAGGCTTCATCTGTCAATGTTACATTTAGCTATAAATACAACAGACTAATCCACTGATGAGTATTAGACTCCCATAACCCCTAAACCTAGATATAAACTATAACCTAGAGGTGATAACTACGTTATGTACAAACTAACAGTAGAGCCAGCTCTCAAATTCAGGCACTCTGGTCCTAGAATCTATGCACTTCATTATTGTATTATGCTACATGTGTTTCACTTCTTAGGTGGGAACATTAAATTTGAATCATGTTAACTTGCTAAATAGATTATAGTAGTGGGTCTACTACCTATGTATTATATGACTCCTTCTGTAAAATACTGATAGTTCTGGAATATGGTCATAACTTAATTCTTTAATTGAACATTTTATGCAGGCAGTAATATTCTTTACAAGGATTAGCAGGAGTCTCAAGTTTAATTCTGGGGTTTGAAGAATGCTAAAACATTTGTTTTCTTTTTAAAGTTTCTCAAACCTGTGTTTTTCAACTAGAAATCGCCTTTTGTGTGCAGGGGTGCACCACAGGCTCATCAGTTCTAAGAGTTTTATTAAATCTCTGGATATTTTCAAAAAAAATTTTTTTTTTTGGAGATATGGTCTCTCCATCTTCAAGTTACCATGAACTCATCATGTAATCCAGGCTGGCCTTGAGCTCATGGCAGTCCTCTTGCTTCAGTCTCTCGACTGCTGGTATTACAGGCATGTACCACCACATCCAGCCAAAACTTCTAAGATTGATAACATAATATGGTGTTACCAAAATGTATTTTAAGAAAAATTTATGAATAAATTACTTGGGGTACCATTTTTACCATAACTTTTGATAGCATAGCTGTGATTATTATTTTATTTGAGGAATAAAACTAAACTTGTCTCTGAATACTGTACATATAGAAACTAGGAGATAAGTAAAGATTTTTTAAGAACCACAGATTATGTAATTGAGAATAGAGTATGCTTACTTTTCATGGGGTTCTGGGTTCAATTTCTAGCACCAATAAATAAGCAACAGGTTTTATATGAAACATTAAATTTGACTGAAGGTTTAGAATTGAATACCCCCGAGTTGAGTTTTTTTAATTGTTTGAAATTTGATTGTGTCTAATAGCCACTAACTATGAGAAAGAAACACTGTTGTTTTGTTCACTGGCTGCAAAAACATATCATCTTATCATCTTTGTTGTTATGTCTTTTGTATGTTTCTGAACTGCTTATTGTTATTCTCATGTTTCTCAAAGAGTTTTTTTTTTTCTTTCTTTCTTTTTGCAGTGGGGATTAAGCCCAGGACCTCACTCATGCCAGGCAAATGCTCTACCACTGAGCTATAATCTATTTTTTATTTTGAGAGTTGCACAAACTAGCCTCAAACTTGAGAATCTCTTGCCTCAGCCTTCTGAATAGCAAGGATTACAAGCAGGTGCCCTTGGCTCTGAATCCTTAAAGCTTTTCTTGAATTTGAGTAAATAGGAAAACCAAGTGGTCCCTTACACAATCTTGCTTTTCCACAGGTTTTAATAATTAACATGTCCATTATCTTTGCTTATTTTTCTTTATTTCCATGATTATCTTTTAAAGGGGATGGATATTATAACTTCCCATCAAAACTTTCCAGAATTAGTCATGTTGAAAACTTACAGAATATTTTCATATCTAATAAAATTTTATCAATTTAGTAAGCCAGAATTCATTGTAACAACATCTGTTACATAATAGATTGGTGTATTCTATGGTGTTGGAGGCTCAGTAGAAACTTTTTAGAATGCATAATGGATAAACTTTTAGTAACGCTTTGAGCATCTGTCTCCTTTTTCAGCTTTGAGACTTTCTTTGAGGTGTATGATAATGAACATACAATGACTTCTTGACCAATATAATACAACTTTGTACAGTAATGATTATAGGGTTGGGTGTAGCTCAGCTGTTTCATTTTTGCATATTTATATCATCATTATGCAAAACACCTAGTTTTTTCTTTGCCTCATCATTTGTATCAGCCCAAATTTTTATTTCAGTTAGTATGATACTGATGTATTACAACACAGGGCAGTAATCATTTTGGGATTGTGTAGTAGGTACTTATTTGGGGAATGGAAACCTTACTTCAGAAATTAATTTGCCAGGCAGGGTGGCGCACACCTGTAATCTCAGACTCAGGAGGCTAAGGCAGGAGGATTGCTGTGAGTTCAAGGGCAGCCTGCACTACATGGCAAGACACTGTCTCAGAAAACAACAAAGAAAAAAGAAAAATAAGAAGAGAAATTCATTCATTCATTTATTTAGATAGGAGATCTTATGTAGCTCAGCCTTCTGAGTGCTGGGATTACAGGTATGTGCCATCACACTTAAAAATTTTAAATTCTTTTATTATTATCTTAAAAGATTGTCATAAAATATTAATTGCTTTAATTTCTCCTTACTCCCGAAGTACAATGGGGCTATTCATTTTTTCTTTCTTTTTTTAGTTATTCATTCATTCATTCATTTATTTGGGTGCTGGGCATCAAGCTCAGGACCTTGCATTTGCCAGGCAGATGCTTGTGTTGCTGAGCCATATCCCCGGCCCTGGAGCTACTCAATTCTTAATTTCAGTTCCTCAGGGAATTCGTTCAGCTTAATTTTCTCAGTTTTAAGTTATTTTTCTTGCACTTTCATAGTTCATTATTTATTCTTCTCTCATAGGTTGAATCTAAATTTTTCATGTGCAGTAATCCTTAAGTTAACGGGCAAGGCCTATGATAATTTTGTCAACCCTCGAGTGTATAGCACAGTACTTACAAAAGGTGCTTAGTTAATATCAATTGGATTTATATTTCATAATGTGGGGAAAATATATTTGATTGATCTACTAAAATTTTTCATGCTTGTCTTTTTGAAGTTTTGTATGTCTTCTTCTTTCTCTATTTAAGATTGACACAGTTTTCATAAATTACCTTTTAGCTCCTGGAAAAAAAAATTAAGTCTCATAAACTTCATCAGAAAGTTGGCTTGTCTGTGGACTGCATATTCACTAACCAAGAGGACAGAAGACAGATACTTAACATGATATTCACACATGGCTGCTGTGCATCAGGACCTCTTTATGATGTAGTAGGGGAGCAGGATTAAGAAAATCCTCCTGGTTTTAAAAGCCCATCTCTACCAATTATTAGCTTGTGTGGCCATCTGAAGGTTATTTTTGAGATTTGTCTCTCTCTTGCGAAGTCAGACACAATAATTTCTGTTGAAGCTGAAGTGAAGATACTGTAGGGTACTGTGGAGCACTTGAGCTATCACTCCTGTCACCTCCTGTCCCTTCTCCACTGTTGTTGCTGGTAGTCCCTCCCTTGTGGCCATCAGCTCTGCTCTCTCCTAGCGCCTTTGCAGAGCAGATCTTCATCACTCACTGGAGGAGGCCCTTTCCTATTTCTTGACTACCATTTTGCCTTTGTCTCATTTTTCATCTTTTCATGATGAAGTGTGGTCTTTAGACTAATTTAGACAGTGGGAGGATGTGACTTTTCTTTTTGTGTTTATTATATAAGTATAATAAACATGTATAACAGTACATATTTCATATATATATATGATCTCTTTCTTGTTAGTAACAGTCTGAATCTGTGACCTTACAGAGGTATTGTCATTCATTCTGCATGACTGTCAGTTACTGTTTTCTGGGAAAAACACAAACATCAGTAGGACATATTAATTACCTTCCAAGAAGCTTTAGTCCTCCGAGAGTGACAGATAATGAAACAGTTTGATAAAGAGATGCATGTGTGAAAATGATGGAAGATACTTAGAGCTATCCTGTCTGATAGGGAAGTAGTGTGACACACGTTTAGCTCAAAGTGCTTTAGTAGCCATGTTTTTAAAAAAAAATGAGGCAGCAACAGTAGCTGGGATGACAGCACATACCTGTAATCACAGCACTCTGGGAGGCTGAGGTGGGTTGATCACAAGTTCAACCCAGCATGGGAAACTTAGTGACTTAATGAGACCCTCTGTGAAAATAAAAATGGCTAGGTATGTAGATCAGTGCAGAGGCCCTGAGTTCAATCCCCAGTATTGTCAGGCAGGCGCCCCTCCGCTTTTTTTTGTACCAGGAATCTTGCGTTTACCAGGCAGGCACTTACAGTCACCAGTATTGTCAAAAAAATTTTATATACAAAATTAAATATCAGTTTATCTATACATCTTTTGCTAGGTGCATTGTGGTGTGTGCCTATGGTCTCAGAACCTGGGAGATTGAGGTTGGAGGATCAGTTGAATGTGAGAGTTCAAGACCAGCCTGGGCAACTGAAACTTGTCCCCAAAAAAGTTGTATTTAACTTAATATACCTGTAACACTTTTCAGCATTTATCAATACCAAAAAATTAAGCTGCTTTACATTTTTATTTCATACTAAAAGTATTCATAATTTGGTGTGCATATTACACTTGAGGTTAGGAAGATCAAATCCTCCCCGTGCCAAAAGCCCCTCATCCCACATTCCACAGACTCCCTCCATCTCAGGTATGTCATCCTTCTAATGTATATCTCAATTTGGATTTACATTAGAAATATTGGATTTGGTTTGAGAAGTAGAATCATTTACTTGAGACATTGTAGACACCCTAAAAAATTTTCCAGTGTTCAGATTAACTATCAGTTACTCAATTTAAATTAAATAAAAGATACAGTCTTTCAGGGGCTGAGGATGTATTTCAGTGGTGCAGCACCTGCCTGGCAAGCTTAAGGCCCTGAGTTCGATTCCTGGTACAAAAAATAAATAAAAATAAATGTAGCCTTTCAGTCATAGCAGCTATAGTTCAAATATCACATGTTGCTAATAGTTATTGTTTTGGATCCTGCAGGTGTAAAGTATTAGAAGTATGGAGAATTACACAGTTAAGTACATTAGCATTTAAACTATGTTAGAATATGTCTACTAGTAAGTCCAATATTGGTCACTATCATTATCATAAGTCAGATTGCATACAGACATTGCCATATTAAATAGAATAGTCTTTTTCAGAATACCAAGTGTGTTTTATGTTTTTGGTTCCTTTAGATACCTTGGGGCTTTGTTTCAGACACAGCTAAGTTTCTTGGAAAGAATTTTTTAAGTCTTGCCTTTCAGCTTTCTTAGGTGGATCCAGAACTAATATGGCCTTACTACTGAGGATTCCGTTTGGTATCTGTGTGTCTTAAAGTGTTTCTACTTCAGCTTTTGTGGCCTGAATGTTCCAACTCTGGGTGTTCAGTCTTTCTTTGACTGCTGATAAAATCCTTCTGCACATATGCCAATCAAAGTTCAACTCAAGACGAAGGGATCCCCTCCACAGGTCTCCAGAGTACAGTCCTGTTAAGTCTTCTCTTAGTAATCTGCAACATTAATTCTAGTACCTTAACCTCTCCACACCCTATCTTCCTAACTAAAGGAGATTGCCATGCTCTGGGCACCTGCTCAGGCATTGCAGCCTGGAAGCTCTTCATGCAGGGAGTTGGGTTAATCATCTGTACTCAGGAATATCTGTCTTCATTGTCTGTCTAAACACCATCATTTTATATAGTATATCTTTTTTTTACTTATTTGAGATAGGAAAATAAATCTAGTTTGCATTTCAGAAGCAAAAGTGAGTTTTAATCATATCGTCTAGTTAAAGTATGCTGCTATGACAGAAAATTACACTTTTTCCTTAGTGTTTAAGAAGTGTCTATATTGTGCAAGTATTACTTGTAACCTTTAAAAAGCAAATCAGTAGTTGGCCGCTGATGGAGAAAACAGCCAGATAAGCCTTAGTGTTCAAATGCCTGATACAGTAATAGTGTGTATGTGTGTATTTACTACTAACATTCTAAAACTGTCTAATAAGCTAATCAGAATATTAATTTTCTGCAGACTGAGAGTAATCATGACACAGCATTAACACTTGCCTGTGCTGGGGGCCATGAGGAGCTGGTACAAACACTGCTGGAGAGAGGAGCTAGCATTGAGCACCGAGATAAGAAAGGTAAGGCTTATCAGTGTGTGAAGTTTATTTTCTGTAATACATGTGGAAGAAATTTGAGATATTTAGAAGTATTACTTCTTATCCCCATTTTGATGCTTAGGTGTGTTGGAAAATAGTGTTGGTCCTTTGCTTAGCACTTCACGCAAAGGTCATTATTTTTTTCCAGGTTTTACTCCACTCATCTTGGCTGCTACAGCCGGTCATGTTGGGGTTGTAGAAATACTGCTGGACAATGGTGCAGACATTGAAGCCCAGTCAGAGAGAACCAAGGACACGCCACTTTCCTTGGCTTGTTCTGGGGGCAGGCAAGAGGTAACGTTTAGTATAATTTTTTAGTATAATTTTTTTTCTCTGTGTATAGCAGATACATAGTGTATGATTTCCACGCCCCCCAGGAACAGTGATTTGATGTTGCAATTTATCACAGTAACACCAGCTATAATTTACTAGCAGAAATATAATGTTAGCATGAGCTACCTTCCCAGAAAATCATACATTATTTATAACCCTGCTTTTCTAAAATTACTCTCTACATTAGGTGTCCCTGTATTACATTCAGGCTAAGAGAAAACTAAAATATTCCAAATCAGTGTCTGTATTCCTTCATCTTTCCCTGTTCTAGAACTGAGATCAGTTGGCATTGATTAAGTAGGCTTAAGAAACTGTAACATTACAACTTTTTCCATGTTTTCTGTCATAACATGTTTAGTTTTCCCCAAATCTGTTCTTACATACAGGGGATATAAAACTTACTGAACCAATTGTGCTATGTCTAGATTCACAACTTTTCAATCAGGGATTTTTTGAATCTTAGGTGTAGGGAGGAGTACCTTGTCTTCCAGATTAGGTTTTGTAAGAGGGTAGTTCAGACCGCCCTTGAACTCACTATGTAGCCCAGGGCAGCCTTGAACATGGAGTGATCCTCCTGCCTCAGCCTCCCTAGCACTGGGGTTATTTGTGTGCACCACTACACCCATGTTCAGATTAGTTTCTTACTCAGTTTAAAAGTCCCTTCTCTTCTTTTCAGCCCATTCCCACTCCGTCGTCTTCCTTTTCCTTTCACAGTTTCCCTACTTAGAAGTTGCTAAAGTTTCCCCACTCTTCCTGGTCCTGTTTGTTTATAACCATCTTTTTCTCCTCAACCACTCGTGTTCCCCAAAGTCATCCACTGTCTGTGTGAAGCAAGACCTGTTTTTTCAGTTGCTAGCTAGAGAATACTATTTCAAGTCTTTCACTCTTCTGGACTGTTCTGCCCTTTAAGTTAGTGGACTCTGACTGACTAGCCGTTGACTATTGCCTCCTATGTGAGCATTTTATTTAGTCCCTCCTCCCACCGCCCTTTGTAAGTTATAGCCCACCAGGTTACATTGAATTCTAATCAGTTAAACTCAGTAGGTTTTGAAAATAATTCATAAAAAATTAAATTTAACAGCTGGGCATGGTGACTCATGCTCATAATCCCAGCACTTAGGAGAAAAAGAAAGCTAGAATAATTCCTATACAAGAGAATGGGAAGTGGTACAAGTATAGTAAAATGGTACAAGTATGGGAAGATAGAGGTTAGTCATTTTATATTTTATAGATTAAAAAGAATGAAAGCTGAATAACAAAATGAACATATATAAATGGTTTGTTATTAGATTTTCCTTTGATTATTTCCATAGTTTTTGCCCCTTTTTTTCTAGTATATAATCCATAATCATTTTTATGGATTATAGGTTCTTACTAAAATGCACCAGATGGCTTTATAACCATTCTAGGAGTCTTTCAGATGAAGCAGTTAAACTTGGAATGCCAATTTACTGCAAAATCACAGACATTTTTATATTGAATGTTTATTTCTCTTTGAGAAGAGACCAGTCTCTCTGAGGGATAACTATGATCAGTTATCTTTACATAATGGAATTGAGAACATTTCAGAAATGTGAAAGTTGTTTTCTACCTTATATTACTTTAAGGGATTTTTCTAAAATGAAATGGGCTAATGCCACTTTTTATCTCGTTTCTATCAAGGAAGCCAACTAGTCTTACTGGCTCCGAAAGTAAAGAAGTGATGGGTAGAAATTTTTTTATCTAAAATTGGGCCTACCTTTATTCAAACAAGTAAAAAGTTTTAGTTGATAGATAAGTCTCTCGTCATTAAAAATGCTACTTAGGAAATACTGTAACTCTCTGTAAGAGCAAGGTTAAAAGCTATGATCTTGAGGTACATCAGAACTTTGTTACACTTCATTTCTAAAATGGAGATAAAAGTATGGTACCTGTGTCGGAGGGTAGTACTCTTCATTTAAATGGTACAGTGAATAAAAAACAGTAAATGACCAGTAAGTACATAAGTGCTAAACATTTACAACCATGAGAGAAAGGTCATTCAGGCCCAATGGGATACCACAATACACTAGACTGGTGAGAATTAGAGATTGGTAGTAACAAGTGTTGGCAAGATACAAAGCAATTGGAGCTGATGCATTGTTGGTGGGAGTATAAATATTTCTAACACTTTAGAGAATTATCTTGGAATTTCTTATAAAACTATATCCTGAAAACTCAATTGCTAGATGGGAATTATACATATTACTATAGTGTAATACAGTATTAGTGGTAAAATCTAGTTAACTAATATATGGACAGTCTTTTCAATTTTTTTGAAGAAAGATTGGTTTTCACATTTTGAAAATATTTTTGAAAGTTACTGAGTGGTTTAAAATTATTTTAAATATATTTACATGTATAAATTTAAAAATCACTGGGCATGGTGGAACATACCTATCATGCCAAAACTCAGGAAGCAGAGGCAGGAGGATTGCCATGAGTTTGAGGGCAGCTTTGGCTACATAGTGAGCTTAAGGCCAGCCTGCACTACATAGCAAGACCCTATGTCCAAAAAAAAAAAAAAAAAAATCTATCTGGGTTTAGTGGCACACACCTATAACACCAGTACTGTGGGAAGCTGAGTTAGGAGGATTCCAAGTTGCAGCCTAGTCTGGGCAACTTACTGCCGTAGAGAGACCTTATCTCAAAATAAAAATAAAATATAAACGGGTGGGAGTGCATCTTAGTGTGAAAGTCTTGAGTACAATCCCCAGTACTATAGAAATAAAGTCCTATCCCCATATTACTTGTGTTTTGCCACCATGTAATGGAATAATAAAAAGATACTGATTTCCAAAATACCATATGATGACATGTTGGGTCCAGATCTTCCATGGATATGCTATACTTTGTCAAAAGATTTCTAAATTGGTTTTATTTGAGCAGTTTTTCTCTTTGTTGTCCTCTAAGATCCTTTGCCAGTTTCGTGTAGAGCATGAAAGAACTTACCACTTTTTCTGGTTTACAATAGACCAGAAAAAAGAGAAATCAAAAATACATTCCCTGAAAATGGTCTCACCATAAGAAAACATTCTGTCCTTTTTTCTTTCCAGGTAGTGGAGCTGTTGTTGGCACGAGGGGCAAATAAAGAGCACAGGAATGTTTCTGATTATACACCTCTGAGCCTGGCTGCTTCAGGTGGCTATGTGAACATCATCAAAATACTACTAAACGCAGGAGCTGAGATTAATTCCAGGCAAGTTCATTCTTCCATTCAGACCACGTATTTCTTAAGAGTGTTATGAAAAAGATATTTATAGGTCACTTGTTTTGAGTACCATATTTTGGCTCTTCATATATACTTAGCATCCAATTTGTTAGAAGTTTTTTAAAAGTTAGTTTTATTTAAGTAATGAAAACTGTTGAAATAGAACTTAAAAAACATCAGTTGTTACATTAAAATTCTACATTATAATTCACTTTCCTGGTGTAAAATGTGTATTTTTCCTTTTGTTCTCCCTGTCTTAATCCTCAGAACTGGTAGCAAATTGGGCATTTCTCCCCTCATGTTGGCAGCAATGAATGGGCACACAGCTGCTGTCAAGCTCCTGTTGGACATGGGCTCTGACATAAATGCTCAGATAGAAACCAACCGGAACACTGCCCTTACCTTAGCCTGCTTCCAAGGAAGAACTGAAGTGGTTAGTCTTCTGCTTGATAGAAAAGCAAATGTTGAACACAGAGCTAAGGTAAGAAAAGATCTGAATTTACCTGTGAATTTATAGCTTTAATGGTTATAGTGTACAGTAGTATTTTACTACTTTTTTTGTTTTTTTGTTTTTTTAGAGACAGTCTTGTTATGTATTACATAACAAGGCCTTGAACTCAAAATCCTAACCTGGCTCATTTTAGTACTTTCTAATATTTATCTCCTATAGATATGTTAAATCAGGAATCATTCTAAGTCAATCAATTGTAAACTTTTGAAAACATCTCAGCTGTACATTTTTATAGGTGTTAATATTAGGGTTTTTGTCTGAAAAAGATAAGCTGTTTAGAAAGAGAAGTGAGAACGTTTTCTTTATTACCAATTACATGCTAAATGCTTGCATCTTATTCAGGTTCCTAACACTATTGATTTTAGGTACAGCTACCTTCTTTTAATAGATCATTAGGATATAATTTTGAGAAACTGGTATCAGTGCTGAGATTCAGTTGTGAATTTTCTAAAGACTATATCATATTGTTCCCTCAGATTTTTTTTTTTTTTTTTTTTAACATTTTAGCTCTTTCCAATTCCCTGTGTGGTTTTTTTGTTCATTTGTTTATTTTCCACTAAACTTAGACGGGCCTCACACCACTAATGGAAGCTGCCTCTGGTGGATATGCAGAGGTGGGCCGAGTTCTTTTGGATAAAGGTGCTGATGTTAATGCCCCTCCAGTTCCCTCTTCAAGAGATACAGCTTTAACCATAGCAGCAGATAAAGGACATTATAAGTTCTGTGAGCTTCTCATTGGCAGGTAAGATACTTTCATACCCTTCATGTTCAATGTAAGTGTTACTAGTCATTGGTATTCTCTCTGAGCAGTTGTATCATTAAGAAAATTAAATGTGCTTCCTTCTATAAACTACAACCCCACTCCCCAACCCTCATCATTTTTCACCCATGTAGAGTTAGGTGTTATATTGTCTGGTTTGTTTCAGTGTAGCCTAGGAATACTTTTCTTCATCATTGTGTATGTACTTCTTTAGTGCTATAATAAGGTATCTGAACATGCAGCTATTGTCATCCATACTCATGTCCCACACACAGTTTGAGTTTTGCCAAGTATTACTGTAATCAAAGTCTTTAAAGTCTGGCAGTGATTTACGGTTCTGTGTTGATTTTTTGTATTCTTTATAGCCATTAGGGATTTTAGGAGACAGTTTTGGGACTATTCAATATTACTAGACAGAATCAAGGATACTGATTTAGAATTTGCCTACCGGTTTCCAGTGGTGTTCGTCTCCCTGTCTGTATTTTTTACTCGACAGTCTTAAGACTTTTGTGTGGTACCCTACCAAGAATAGTATTTGGTACTCTTTTATTACTAGTAACTACTGTTTCTACCATGAGTCATCTTAACTACTTAATACTCACCTAATGCTGGATGTACATGTTATTTTTGAATTTATTTTTTCTGAAACTACATACTATAAATACATGAATATAAATAAGACATTTGTGTCATAGGTATTTTTCTTATCTCTTAAGTTTTTTTAATACGTTAATTTCTATATTATGGGGTTTACTTTTATTTTTTACTAAAAAATTTCCATTTCCCTGGATTTGAAACAAGGACTTATGGTCATCTTTAAAGTAGAAAATCAAATACTGAATATATGACTTTCATTTGATGGAAATGCTTTGTAGTATACCTCTGAGAAAAATTGTATTTTAGTTCTTGAACATTAAAAATAATTTTCATCTTTATAGATTTTTCACATGGTAATAGTTGTGGGGCTTTTTGTTAACTATATCATTCCATTTCATTTAAGACAGTGCTATCTATGTCATTCATTTTTAGGGGAGCTCATATTGATGTACGTAACAAGAAGGGGAACACTCCATTGTGGCTAGCAGCAAATGGTGGACACCTTGATGTGGTTCAGTTACTGGTACAAGCAGGTGCTGATGTAGACGCAGCAGATAACCGCAAAATAACTCCTCTTATGGCAGCATTTAGAAAGGTAGCGGTCTTTGATCCTCATTTACGTGATGTTTTCCACTTACTCTAGTAAAGGAAGTGCATGTCTCGTTGTCACTGAAGACTCTTCATTTTATGATTTAGGAACTTTGGTTAAAGTAAGTCATATGCAAATTATTACTCTGTTAGCAACACTGAAGGATAGAAACAGGTATGCCAGAAAAGCTATATTACTTAAACTGGACATTACAACTAAATGAACTTGTAAAAAGCTTTTTCTGTAGTACTGTCAAATTCAGTTATAATCATAGTATTTCACAAAATATAACTCTGATAAAGAGTAGCCAATTGGAGCTACTTGGATATGGACAAATGTTTGCTTCTATTATCACTGCAAAGAAAAATATAACAGATTTATTTTATTCTCATCATTGTTAAATACTGGAAAGAAAAATGATAGCTTTGCTACTAATATTTTAAATTCCTCAAAATCTGTTATACTATGGAGAACATACAAATTTCAGAGATACGTGCTTCGTGAATTTTTTCATTTGAAGAAATGTCAGTAAAATTTCCTGTAGATTCCAAAATGTGAAAAAATTTTAATATATAGACGATGTCATCTCTTCCTTTTACTGTTTGTTCTCTTGTCCCCATGTATGTTTGTCCTTCCCTCGTCCTTCCCTTGTGAGGCCTTCCCCCAACCCCAACCCACTGAGAATTTAATCCAGGGCTTTCACACTGAAGTATATCCCTGGTCCTATTTATTTACTTAATTTTGAGAGACAAGGCCTCCCAATGTCAGTGTTCCCCAGGCTGGGCTCCAATTTGCAATTTTGCAGCTCTGCCTCAGGCTTCTAGAGTGTAGGGATTATAGGTACCCACCACCATAGCCAGCTTTGATTTTTTATTTTTTAAATTAGTTTGTTTATTTGTTAAGACAAAGTCTCACCATTTCTTTTCAGGCTGACCTTGAACTCACTGTGTAGCCCAGGCTGGCCTCACCTCAAACTTGTGGCAGGCGATCTCCTACCTCAGCCTCCCAAATGCTAAGAATATAGGGATGTGCTCCCTACCATGCCTGGCTTGACCTGGTCTTTATTCTCCCTTTTCCCTACATAATCTTAACTCTGATGCTGCAGTTTTCTTTACTTCATCAGTCAAAAGCTTACTGTTTCTCAGAGGTTACCTACCTCTAATTGAAGTAAGCGTGTCATCAAGTTTGTCCTCCTAACCAGTCTACCATTAATGCCCTGTTTTGAGTAGTTCTGTGCCTCTAGTCTCTGACCTCTTTTGAATTCCAACCTGGTTTGGTGTTCAAAGCCATCACAGTTTAGTACCTTTAGGTATTCTTTTACGGTAACTGTGATGTAGAGTTTTCTTTGCCTCAGTTGATCTTTTTCTTGTCCTTCATACCATCTCAGTTGAATGACCTTTTTCTTGTCCCTCCTCATTTTTTTTCCCATTAGTTATTCTTTAGATAATTTAAAACTTTCTTTCTACACAAACTGTTTCTGTCCTATTTGAGCTTACAGTGAGTTCTCCAATCTCCTAGGTTAAGACTTTATCTTTTTATCATTTATCTTGAGACAAATACCTTTATGTTAATAATGCTCACAGTTTTTTTAGGTATTTCTCAAATATCTGGCATGCATGTATCTTATCTCTCCAAAAGATAATTTTAATATGTGAACAGTGTTTATCTTTTATACTCTTGTGTTTGTTTATTTTTTGAGTGCCTCTCAGGTGCACTGTAATGACTTGGCTATTACATTACAGTTAAAATTTTTTAATGTAGCCTAGTCAGGGAAGTAACATTCATGCCCCAGTCCTAACAAACTGTGTAAGTTGTCCCATATAATTAGTGTAAGGACTAACGGAGTGTTGCAAAGATCATTAGGAAAGTGACATTTGAGCGTTTCATTGAATAGCCATGCATTTATAGCAAAGTTTTTGAAACATGGGGACAAAAAGGAAGAGAGAGTTCATCTTGACTGTTACTTTTTATCCAGACTGGCTAAATTATAGGTGTTGTGTCAAAGAGCCTTACTCTAGATGGGTAAAAAGTTCAGTGAATCTAAAGAGTTGGAAATTTACTCAGATACTGAGCTGTGTTGTAGTGAATGGTTTAATCACAGCTGATGTTGGTGTAAAGGGTATTATCTTCTTTCATACTGCCCAGTATAGTGCTATTTGGTTTTTATCTGAAAGAATAAAATAATAAAATTGTTATTTTTACTCTTGTTTTGCGGAGGCAGGGTCTTGCTGTGCAGTTCAGGCCAGCCTTGAACTATGTAGTATTTTTACACTTTTTTATACTTAGAACAAATTGGATGCTCATTTGTAGTGAGTTGCCAAAGAAAAGAAAGAAGAGTGTTTATCTTTTTTCTCTTTTTCTCATTACACACATCTCTCCCAACTTTCTTTATATTAATTTTTGGATTTTTGTTCTTTTTTCAGAGTAGTTTAGAATTTTAGGTTACATAATTCTGTACTTTTTGCAAAGGCTGGATGCAAATGAACAGTGTAGATTTACCCTGTTAAAATCAGTCTTTTTTTAAAATTTATTTACAGTGCAAATATACAACTGAGTTGTTATTCATCTATTCATATGGCCAGTGTATATTTCCTGAACCCTAAGAGTCTGTGTTCTAGCTGACATTGCTGTTACTTTTTTAGGGTCATGTGAAGGTGGTGCGCTACTTGGTGAAAGAAGTCAATCAGTTTCCCTCAGATTCTGAGTGTATGCGATACATAGCGACCATCACAGATAAGGTAATGTGTCCTCAGGGTCATCTCACTGCACGAGCTGGAGATTCCATTTGTTAAGACTATTTCTTGTGCTAAGAAAAGTATTAGTTTGAGCAGTAACGTGTAATACATAATGATTTTTTAATTAGCTGTTTGTGAATGAGGTATGCCATTTAAGGGATTCTTACAGATTTACTTACCTTACTGGTCAGTAAAACATTCTGTGATAGAATTCTATTTCTGTGATAGAAGTAAAGTAATATTTTTAATAAAATTTGTAAAATAACTATTTGCTGTTCTAAAGTGTGTTTTGAGAATACAGTTGAAGAGATAGTGTGTCTCAGTGGCTGTGATGCCTTTTATAAAAGACAGTTCTCAAACAATTCAGGAATTTTTAAATCTGTTTTTTGTTCACATTGGTCATTTCCTCTTAGCCCATTAACCAACTCACATACATTACTGTAGTTATGTTTGGAGGAAGTAATTTTAGTTTCCAAGTACTGCTTGGTGAATAGCAAAACATTTTGCTCTCAAATATTTTTAAATATGCGATTTAAGTTTTGTATTTATACTTTTTTGCCTTTTTATTTTCTGCCACTGGTTTTTATTCCCTATTTTTAAGTGCCTTAATGAAGAGCTTCATGTTTTTAGGAACCTCACTAAATGGAAATTGTTCTTTGAGGCAAGAAATACCTTTAATTTTTTTATTATAGGAGATGCTGAAGAAGTGTCATCTTTGTATGGAGTCAATAGTACAAGCCAAAGACAGACAGGCTGCTGAAGCCAACAAGAATGCCAGCATTTTGTTAGAGGAGTTAGACCTGGAAAAGGTAATAACTGTCTTTACGTACAAAAAATGTGTACTTTTTCCCATTCTGCTCTTTCCCCCCCTAATCTGAAGTCCATTGTTACCTAAATTATGTATGTGAGGGCCAGGGATATAGCTCAGTGGCTCAGTGCCTGACTGGCAAACGCAAGGTCCTGTTTGATTCATGGTACCCCCCCCCCCAAAATTATGTATTTGATTTTCTAAGTTTGGCTCAAATATGTAGTGAAAATTATAAGTACTTCAGATATCATTAAAAGCATTTTTTTTATAATCAAATTAACAGAATTTTGTTATTGAATCACATTGATGTGAAAGCCAGGAAAGCCCGGGTGTGGTGGCACAGGCCTATAATCCCAGTACTTGAGGCTGAGGTAGGAGGATCATGTCATGTTCAAGGCTGGCCTGAGCTCTATAGGAAGCCCTATCTTGGGGCTGGGGATTTAGCTCAGCGGCAGAGTGCCTGCTTGGCAAGCGCAAGGTTGTGAGTTCAGTTCCCGGTACCGGAGAAAAACAAAAAAAAAAAAAAAGGAAACCCTATCTCATAAAACCAAAAAAAAGAGTCAAATTAGATTCTGATTTTGGATTTAGTCTTATTTCAGCTACTCATCTCTTAAATCTGCAAATTATACCTACATTTTTTTGATCCTAGACCTTGTTTAATTTGTTGCCAACATATTCATCAGAAGTATCACATGTACTAATACAGACATAACCAACTAGGGGAATATACCATTTAGAATGTTTAATGAGTACTTTTTATTATTGGATGTTTGGTGTTTTTGGGTTTTTTTTAGATAGGGTCTCACTATGTAGTTCACACTGGCTTTGAATTCACTATGTAACTCAGGTTGGCCTTGAATTCATGGCAGTCCACCTATCTCAGCCTTTCAAGTTCTGGGATTACAGACATGCACCACCATACCCAGCAAGTACTCTAATAGGTGACTTCTCATTTGGGCACAGGGGCACAGGCGTATAACTAGCACTTTGGGAGGCTGAGGCAGGATTGCAAGTCTGAACCCAGCCTCTGGCGATTTAGTGAAACCCTATAACTCAGTGTAAATAAAGACCCTGGATTCAGTAATTTGCACAAAAATAAGTAGGTGACTTCTCTTTGTACTGTTTTTTTTCTAGGACAGAGTACATCATCCCTATGTTTTCAAGGGAAGTAAGATACTATAAAACCACATACAGTTTGAACAATCCCATAGCTCTTTGTTAATTCCTGCCCTTTCTAAAAACATTTTTCCACTAATACACTATGAAATTTGACAAGTACTCTTTAAATTTGTAAAGGATACACAGTGATAATTTTACATGTGCCTCTGTTTTTTCACTGCTCTTGCAAATGGAGGTGAAACTCAGGTTGCCCTCCCACTGAGCTATGTTCCAGGCCTTTATGTTTTAATTTGAAATAGGCTCTCACTAACTCCCAAGACTGGCTTCAAACTTGAGGTCTTCCTGCCTTAGCCTCCTAAGGAACTGGGAGTACTGTTCACACACCCTTTCTGATTTTGGTCAGCTCCATTCTTTAGTAAAATACATGCTTAGCTTTATTAAATTGTTTTATCCTACATAAATAAAATGCGGTATTCTAAGCATTTTATTCTAATTGAAATTTGAAAATACAATCTGCCAGATACTGTGGCCCACACCTGTAATTTCAGTACTCTGGGAGGTGATGCAGGTAGTTTGAGAGTCTGCCCCCAGTCTGGCAGTTTAGTAAGACTAAATTTAATCCCCAGTACAGAAAAAAGAAGTACATTCTTCAGAAGAAAATACAGTAGAGATTCTTCATCTTTAAAGAAATTCTTGTTCAGAGTCTGATCAAAGCAAAATTTGCTTTTCAGATCATTTTAAAGTGTCGTATGGGTATGCACAAAGGGTGGACCCAGATTATAGTCATGTCTGTCCCCTACAGCCATAGAAAGTTTTTGAAGAGAGTTGAGTGTATTGAGAGATTTTGTAATGAACTCTGTAACTATTGCTTGACCTGTTTTTTGTTTGTTTTGTATTTTGTGATGCGGGAGATCAAACCTAGGCCCTTATGAATGTTAGGCAAGTGCTGTGCACTACTGAGTTACATCCCCACATACACCTACCCCTTTGGCCTGTTTTCGTATTTGCTTTCATTGAACATATTATTACTGGTTACTGTTTTTTGAGACAGGATTTCATTATATAGCCTAGGCTGACTTCAAACTCCTGGCTCAGCTTCCTGAGAGTATAGGCTTTCACCACTACACTTGGCTTCATTTAACATTTTAATTCCTACCAAATAATAGGTGTATAATAGGGTGACGATAAGTTGTTTTTATTGAGACAGATTTTTGCTGTGTAGTTTAGGCTGGTCTTAAACTCACTATGTAGCTCAGGCTAACCTCCAACTCCTGGTGATCCTCTTGCCTCAGCCTCTTGAGTTCTGGGATAAGTACATGCTGGCCCAACTTAGGCAAAACATTATTTTATTCTTAGTAAAAATATTACCCCCATGTTGTTGGGAAAGTGAATCTGTGAGAGGTAAAGTAACTTACCTAAAGTAGGCTAAGATTTGAACCTCATTATTTAATTGTAAGTTTTCTGGTCGTTCTCACTGTCTCTCTCTTCCTCCCTGTCCCTGTCCCTGTCCCTGTCCTTCTTTCTCCCTTCCCCTCCTCTTGCCCTTCCCAGCTCTTCTTCTCTCCTTCCTTCCCTCCCTCCCTCCCTCTCTCTCTCTGGTTTTTTGAGACAAGGATCTCACTGCGTAGTTCAGGCTGGCTTTGAACTCAAGGAGCTCTTCCTGCCTCGGCCTCTCAAGTGCTGGGGTTACAGGTGTGCATCACCATGCCCAGCTATCTGCTTCTCTTAATAGCACATAATCTACCCCACCCCTTTTTCTAAGATATTATAATATTGTCTTTTTTCATTTTTATATTCTTATTTTAAAATGTCAACATTTGTGCATAATACTATTTTATAAATTTAGAAAACATCCTTTACAGAGCCAGGAAATAGATGTTATTAAATAAAATTGTTTTAATGTTTTCCTGTCTGTGATGTTTATGTATTACATTAAGTACATTTTGGGGTTCATAGCATACCTGTAGATTGCTAAATCAGATAGCTTTAGGAAATAGCCTTTTAAAGATGTCTGTTCTAAGGGTCGGGGATTTAGCTCAGTGGTGCAGCACCTGCCTGACAAATGTGAGGTCCCAAGTTCGATTCCCGGTACCACAAAAAAGGTTGTCTGTTTTCAGCCTAGCATGGTGGTGCATGTCTGTAATCCCAGCACTTAGGAGGCTAATGTAGCCAGCCTAGGCTACATAGTGAGTTTAGAGCTGTCTGCACTACATAAAAAACGGACTCAAAAAGCAAAAACAAGAGAGTGTCTGTTCTCAGTCAGCTTAATTAAGTAGTGTGCTCAGGTTAAAACTGAAATATGAAAAGAGTAAGAAAAGGACTTCATCACTGTAAGATAACTGAAGTGAAGCTCTGCTGTGATAACTCGTTTTTATCTCTATAATTCCCTACGTGGTCTTGGTGACCATCCATGATAGGGTGCCCACCCACATTACTCCTTCCCCACTTTCTCTTGTGAATTTTTATTGCTCTTCCTCTGGTCACAGTGTTCAGCCATATTGACGGTTCTCCTTTTTGCTCTGATTGTATTTTCTGCCTAGAGTGTTCCTCACATGTCCTCATGTTCTAGTCTCCATCTTTTCCTTTTTGTATTTGTGTGTGTGTATGTGTGTGAGAAAGACACAGACAGACAGACAGACAGACAGAGATATTGGATATTGAACCTAGGCCTTTGCACTAAGCTATCTGTCCCAGAAATTTTAAATTTTTCGAGACAGGGTTGTGCTGAGTCACTAAGTTGTCTAGGCTAAGCTAGCACTTCTTCAGGCTCAGCCTTAGAGTGCTGGGATTACAGGAACATGCCACCATGCCTGCCTTTTTCCTTCTGCTTTACTTCCTAACATTCCAAACACTATATTTTACTTAAAGGTGAATAGCATAGTAAGCACTCCATAAATACTTGTTGAGTGAGTAAATATCCACATTGTGTTGGTTTGTTTTTTTCAAAGCTGGAATCATACAAACACATTATATTACTTGCATTTCCTTTTTTGATAACTAATGGATATTGTTAATTGATAGTGATTTTGTATAATGCAGAATATTGCATAGTAACATTGTATTTAAGGGCTTTTGTTCTTTTGTTTGAGGTTTTTTATATTTTGGTGCTCTTATTTTTAGGGTAAAAGTTCACAAAGATTTCTTAAGTATAAATTAATGAACCCTAATTTGATTCTTCTACCTATGTTGTACATGTTTGTTGACAGTTTTGAGTGGGGTGTTACAGATACATACTTCTGCCTCGTGATGGAGCTTCCTTTCTGAACTCCAGAAACAGTATTTCTAATTTCTAATATTACTTCTCTTCAAAATATTATTAGGTTGGGATCTAAAGATTTGGGTCACTATTTTTAAATTACCATTTATAGCTAAGCATTATGTACTTTTGGGGCACTTTGTGGTTCCAGAATTTATCATTTAGGAACATTGGAGTTGGTCTTGGTTGGTTTAAATTGAGGTTCTTGGTTAACTTACTCCATATATAAAAATATTTCCACTGGGTGTGCTGTACACCTGTAATGCCAGCACTTGGGAGATGGTTGCAGGAGTATTGCTGTGAGTTTGAGGCCAGCCTGAACTGTGTAGTAAAAAACAAAAAACAAAAAAAACACTTACCTCATGAGCATTTAGTGTGGTAGATTCCCTGCTCTAAGGATATTGCATCTATATGAGCTGTGGAGTCCTTATAATTAATTGCTTCCTTTTAGAACATTAACCAGGTTATATTCTTGGCTATTGATCTTCCTCTTTTCAGCTCAGTACTCAAGTTTTTTGTCCTCCTTTGTCGGTTTTCATAACCTTTTAAAGGGAACTATCTACAGCATATTTTTAATACACCTACAGTAAAATCTTTGTTATGCATATTCCATTCTCTGCTCCTCA